CTAGCTATCCATATGATCCAACTGAAATTTAGTTACCAGATCCTAATTTTTAGCTGTGGGAGCTGATTCTTTTTTTTTTTTCAATATAATAATAGGAACATCGTTGTACTTTTCATTCGTTCTTGAGAGTAATTTTTCTTTTTTCTTTTTTTTTTAAAGCATGTGTGCACTTTTTTCACGAATGATCGATCGATCGATCGACCGACGACACCCCTGCGACAAGCATAACGATGCGGCACTCGAGGTATCTCGTGACTCGAGATTCGCCCGTCGACGTTGGGCGCATGAGAAATGCATCGGCGATCACCCGCTGATCGTCGTATGCACGTGTAGCGTGTGTAAGCGGCGGCCTTCGCATTGCTACTCTATCACGGCCGCGTTCCGCTTCCTACCCGCGAGCACTTGTTTATGCGCAACTAGCGGTGTCGTAATACGTTTTTCAATAATCCGGCGAGAATTCGCGCTAAGTGTCCGATATTGCCTTTTTCCGCTTGACTCGTTGCATCGATCTCTGAATTGATATTACATCACTGGCTCGATACAAAAAGTCGATTGCGCTTGTCAGATGAAAAACCAAAGAAATCGAATGATTTCGAATTAATTGAAACAGTCATCATTGACTCGAATATATTTTCCATGCCAGGGATTTTGCGATGTCCTCTCTTAAAAAATTCAAATCGGTAATTTTTATAAAAACAGAAGTGAAAAGAAAAAAAGCGACTCTACATTTTACGTGCACTTTTGAAAAAGCAATCTTTCCACGATAAAATTGTCGGAATACTTTCGGAATTATAAGCGAGCGAAGATAAGCTTCTCACGAGCCTCAGTCGTGCAAAATAGATAATAGAAACTGCTCTCGTCGGTCAATTTCAAGTGTCGATTGTCGAAGCACTGAGAACATCCTTTGGTTATCGAGAATACTTACGTTTGCATAAAGCTGACTCCGCACAATGTGGCAAACGTAGGTAAACGTTGGCAGTTACATTTATATATGTTGGACGAATATAACATATACATGATGATATAACATTAACAATATAACATAACATACCTAATCAATACAATTGCCAACGTTCGCCTATATTCGGTACATTATGTGGAGTCGGCTTTAGAATGAGTCAAGGAGCCGCGCTTTCTTGCGTTTGATCGCTCGGCGGCAGATCGTCTCTTTATCGGTATCTTTCAATCAAGCGCTCATATTCCAAATACACGAGTGCCGGCATTAAATTCCTCGTTAACCTATTGTCAATTTGCCGGGAGGGACGACGTGTCTCGAGACGAGACGAATAATATGCATCGTTATAGGGTCGTTATCGATATTGAAAACATCGAAACGACAGAGAGTTCAAGTACGCGGCCGTGAAGGAAGATTAAGTTAGGTTAGTACGTCGTAGGCGACGGATGTATAGACGAGACGCTAAATAATATCATCGATGATAACGTAAACGCGATATTCCGCCACGCAGATATTCGTAGTGGCCCCCCCCCCCCTTCCCTCCCTCATGATCACGCACATGGAGTTGCGTAAGAATCGCGACGGGTATGCGAGGTGTGGGCCTGCGCGAGGCACGTATCGTAGCGCGTGTGGAGCGAACATAACGCACCACTATCGCGACCATTGTCCATTTGAGAGGAACATTGTCGGGAATCAGTCGCGAGAGTCGTGCGAACGAGTGAACTCTCAAGTCGCCCGAAGAGAATGCCATCGAAAGAGCAATAACTCGAAAATAGGTGGCACGCGGGTATCACTCTCAAGTGGACACGAATAACTTGCGCTCGATAGCTACAAAGCAGAAAACAAAGTCGATTTCTATCATCTCTGTGAACAGATAAAATTGTAGATGCAAATTGTTTAGAAAGGATACTGGCAACTTTCTATTAAAGTGGCGAAAGTGTATCGAATTTGAGTCGTGACTATTCAGATTGATAAAAATTGAAATAATCAGGTTATTAACCCTTTTAGTGCCGGGCGAAAAAGAGGTGCTTATGCGAAGATAACCGGCCGATTTTACTAGGATTTGGTAAAAGGCTCATAAAAACCAAACGAAAAGCAATATTTAAAAATTATTTATTTTAATTCTCTCGTAATGAAATTAGACTATTTATAACGTATTTTAAATTTATTCTGATAGAGATCTCTCGCAATGCGAATAGTAAAACACTACAAGGTGCGGGCCGATATATCGGCTCTGGCACTTCTCGCCGGTGTAGCAGGAGCCGATATATCGGCTCCCGGCACTAAAAGGGTTAATATAGCTATTATTACGGTTCGGCACAATAGCACTTTGAGATCTTTTATGATATATTGTTCGATAAGTTCGTAGGGACTTTAACAAAACATTCAATGTCGTCACTTTTACAGTTGAGTATAATTTTATAAATAAATGTACTGATCGTTTTTTTTTTCGGGACATGTCACCGAAAAAACGAAAAAATCGAAGTTGTATCTAATTAAAAGAAAATCAGTTTTGAATTTTTCGTAAAAATCTTTACGAATTTATCGAACAATTCGATATATTTTATCGGATTTTTCAGTTTTTTTTTTTTCAGAAACAAAACAATTTTATTGATTATATAAAAAAAAGATTCAAGTAAAAAATTACTTCAATACTCCTTAGCAAATTTTTATTTGAATCAAGTAAATATTTTATTTGATAATTTACCAGGAAAAATTTTACTTGCTTCAAGTAAATATTACTTGAAGTAAAAATTTGCTAAGAAACATTAGAATAACCATTTACTTGAGTCTAGCGCTTTTCTATGCATAAACGACAAGATATTGTTTCTCTTGACAACTGCAATGTTGCAAAAAAATTTGATAATCAGTCGAAGAAGGAAAAGGAAAGCAGAGAGCACACATATACACACACACACACACACACGTCGTCGTCACGGTCATAAATTTCGGCGCACGTAAGAAACGCAATTGACTCCACATGATATTCGGGTGCTCTTTCACGCGGCCCGCTTCTCGGCCGAAAAGACGCGTGAATCGGCGGCTGCGCGAATCTTCTTTATCGTGGAATGAGGCGCGAAATCGTCGCGAGTGTCACCGCACTGGTGAGTGCATTCGCATGAACGCGGCGGGTATGTTGAGATGTCCCAAAACTGCCGGATGCTCGGAACACGAATACTTGGGCCAATTTAAGATAAATTTTACGCTTCGTTTCATACTGAAACGTGACGCGCCTGTCCGCGATATGTTTCGCGTAGAGATTCAATTCGTGACTACCAGTAGCTGAATCAATCGATTAATTATCGACACTTCGAATTATATTAATACTTCGTCATAATTTCCATAATCGTTACCCTGCCGAAAAAAAAAACCAGATGGGAATTCATATAGGAAATCCATATGGAACCCGCATGGTTGCTCCTGGGGATTTCTACTAAAAATCCAGATGCTAGATAGGAATCCATGTGGATTTCTATATGAATTTTCACGAACCATGTAGATTTCTATATGGATTTCCATGGGAATCCATGTGGAATTTCCAACAGGGTATATCTTTCAGATCCTAATCCACTGTCAAGATAAGTGTTTTAGGAACAACGCGAACGCGTATGAAAGCAAAGAAGCGAGGAAGTAAAGAAGAGACGCGCTCAGGCCAACGAAAGCTCATCGTCCGGACACAAACTAATAGCCAAACGCGCGCTCACTCGAGCACGATCACAACAAACAGTTTTTTTCTCCAAATATTATCCCCTGTAATCGAGGACGTAGAGAAGCTCGGCAGATAGTTGCTGTTTTCAATCAGTTAGTTACTTGATTGAAAGCTCGAATATCTGGTAAACTCTTTGCACATCTTCGATGTCGCGTTCTAACCGCATTTTCGCGTAAACGTATAAGATAAAAGTACTAATGTCTGGACACGAACCACGTATCTGACTTAACTCTAGACATTGTTTTTCTGCCAATTAAATATGAATATTCAAGCTTTCAACATAAAATATATGTACATATATTAAATATATTTTGTTTAAAATTGAATAGTATATTAATAACACGTACCTAATTGTGGATACTCTTGTTGTCTCGATCTTTAAAACGCGAATGTTTAAAGGTTAAACGTCCTTCATTTTAATCTTTATTTTATAGAATGTTTAATTTTTAAACATTCATATTTTAAAGACCGAAGTAACAAGAATATTCACAATTAAGTACGTGTCCAGGCACTCGCGATCTTTCGTCTTGCAAGAAGATTCTCCGGCGGACCGACGCGAATCAGCGAGCGGAATTAGTCGCGGACCGCGGGATAGATTATCTAACAGGCCGACTCGTCGTAACGTAATAATGACCGATTTGTCGCGAGATAAACGACCAGCGCCGACGTAAGGATCGAAGCCGGTCTGCAATTTCGGCGAGCTCGATTCCCGACGTTGACAACCGCCACGGAGCCGAGGCAGAATTGTCGATCCGGCCGCGTTCCGTTCACTCGAGAAAATGAAATCGTCGCGTTTCGTAAAATTGCAGAAAGAAAGGACGAACGTGAGGGGGGTCGGCGTCACGTGCGTGCGCGCTTACGGCATCCGAATCTGTGCTGGATGAGGAGAGCGACCCTGCTCCGACGATATCGACGCCGGTCTGTGCGACTATATGTATGTATATTTTACGATCCTTCAGTAGAGGATCGCAAAGACTGAGATACCGGGCCCTGTAAAGCCGAAATAAAATCGCGCGTAAGCCGCCGAACACACGCGTTCAGTCGTGAAATCGCACGAGGAAAAATCATCGAAATCATGCGCGCACTCCAACCGCTCGATAATCGCGGCTCACCTTTATCATAAAAATGCAACTATCGATCACATGATCGTGCGCTATATTTTAATTTTTTTTACCGATAGCTTCCGTCGCGTTCTCGCACGGAGGAAGCTGGGTGCGGGAGGTGCGAGGACGGCGCGCGCAGCACGTAAACAAAACCACGAGATCGCGACGGTGCGACGGTGGAGACGAGAGAGTTACGTGCCGTAACACACGTACACACATGCACGGCACTTACCACGTCGTACATCCACGCATCCATGGCTGTCCTCGTCCCACGAGCGTGGCAGCCAAAATACAGACGCACGTAGCCTCACGACCGGGACCGACGGCGCGACATTCGGCACAAATTAGTCGTCCGGCGACTCCGTTCGTACCGCAACGCGGGCGCGAACGAATGGAGCGATTCCGCGCCCGTCTGGATTCGAACCGCACTTTCACACCGCGACGCTCACGCCAACGCGGGCCGGACGCGACTGAAGGCGCTAACATCGGCGCTCTAAGTGAATCCGACGGTGCACGGCGGACCGTCGCGCCGCGTCGCGCGAGACGAGTCGATGCCGCGCGCAGCTGCGTATTCGTATCGATGCGCGCGATGTGCCAGAAGGCCCGATCTCAGATCATCCTCATTCGTTATCCTCGTTTTGCATATTACCTGGGAAAAAGTCACTCGAGTCGAGCCATTAGCCGATAATTCTGCCCTTATCAGATCGGAGCGAAAGGTTCGTGCCGTTTTCTTAAGTTCTTGTATGCGCCGGGGGTTACACCGACTCGATTATTCCCGCAGCTTGCGAGGCCGCCGCCGTCGTCGTCACGCTTACATCGCTAATTGCTCAAACTTTCGTCGCGTATTACTTCTCCGAGCAAAAGTTGCAACGCGACGGCGATGCGTTTCGTAATGCAGAAGGTACGCCTCAACGAAATCCGCAATAATATTCTATCGCAGTTGCAGTTGCACTGAATTAGGCAACGTCGAGAGATATATCGTCGCCTTATCGTGCTTATCGCCGATAAAACGCAGCGCGGACTGTTCCCAATCTGAAACGCAGATGTACCGCCGTCGGCGAGCCCCGGCGTGCAATGTCATTTTGGGAGGAATCATGGCCACTGCCAATCGGTCATTGACATTAACACGACTGCCGTATCACCTTGATACCGCGGCTCAAGCTTTATCGTTCCGAGCTTCAAGCGGCTTTTCGTATCTACGCACGCTGATTTATACATCCTCTCTGCCTCTTTCTCACCCCCCCCCTCCCCCTCCATTCCCTCATCGCTGTATCGCGCTCCACTCCTTCCAAGAAACAAGGAAGTAGCACATGTTCATCAAGTATTTTCGCGCAATTTTTGCGCAATACTCACAGTAACGATCTCTACTAATGATTCACTATAATAATATGCTAATGATATATACGAATGAGCGTCATCGATAATGGGAAAAATACCTCAGACGCACTAGATACTTCATGTTTATCCAATTATTTAAAAGCGTTTAGCATGCAAATTGAACGATTAAACTTCAGGAGAAATAAATCAGAGAACGTCGGAATCGTCAATCTTTTTTTTTTTTAATTCAACACTAGAACCGCGGTTGGATCATTTTTTGCCGCTTGTAGATTTTTTTCCTCACCTCTCTGGACTTTCATTACTGAGAAGTCTTTATCATGAAACAATTAAGCAATATCATAAAGATCAAAAAAGTCAACGGATAATTACAAAAAAAAAAAGGTGGGTCAAAAGTGACACACCTGCGATTCTAGTGTTAATTAAACTATAAGGGGTTTAATTAACACGTAAATGGGGGAAAAAAAACAGGCGTCAATAATCATTAAAATATTAAACGCTCGTTGTGCTACTTTATTATTCCCTTCAAACGGAGTCGTTAACGGCAATAACCATCATGATCGTCCTCGACCTAGAGAAGGAAGAATGGATAGGTAGATCGTTCCTAGAAAAGGAACGTCTCAACGACTCTTCCTCTCTCTCCTCTCTCTCTCCCCCCGACGGGGACCAAGTAATGCGTTGTCTCGCGACGCTTCCAATGTATTCCACGTATTCCGAGCACCATGCCGAACGGCATTTACGTATGTACGAGCGAATTGAATTTTCCCTCGCGGGCAAGGTGGGCGTGCGGACGGGCGGCAGCGGTGTAGATCGATCGAGCGAGCGAAACACTCCCATCCCGAGTCGAGCCGCTGCTTTCGCGTTTCGACTTCGTCGTCGTCTCTCTCACCGCGAGAGCGCGAAAAGGCCCCGGCTCGATACGCTACTGGCACTAGACGCGCCGTGTGTATATCGCGACGAGTAGGTGAGAGCGAGTGGGTGGGTGGGTGGATGGATGGATGGTTGGTTGGTCGGTCTGTCGGTCGGTCGGGCGGGCGGGGGCGACGACGGCGGGCGCGACGAGACTCGCGGCCGGAGAGGGAGAGAGAGAGAGTGAGACACTGAGGGTTGAGGAGGGGGAGGGAAAACGTCGGTGGCCTTGAACTTGACTGCCGCCGTTTTTGCGCACAGCCACCGCGGCGTCGCCCGCCCAAAACAGCCCACCGGCGTAGACATATATCGAACTTCTTCTCGCCTACCGACGGCGACGATGACAGCGGCGGCGACGAGTGTGATGGTGGGTGGTGGTGGCAGCGGCGACGTCGGTTGTCGTCGTCGTAAACGATCCATCTCTCATCCACGCCGCGAACTAAAGTGGCTGATCGGGTACTCAGTGAGCGCGATTACTGCGGGTCTGTTCAATCAGTCACGCTTTGTCTTTTGTATTCGGTTTCTTTCTTCCTCGCATCTCCCAAGCATTCAGATACACGCTCGTTTGTTTAATCTCAAATACGCGAGACGCGTCGAGAAGTATGGCCGAAACGAGCAAACTCTTACGAGTATCTTGGAGAAACGCCGACATTTCTCTCGAGGGAATTAATGTAAAACTTGCGTAGATGCGAGAGATCAATTGGCAATCCAGTGCCTATGTCATGTATTTATCGCGATAACTCTCTCACACACATACACATACATATATATCTCGTACTAAATGCGAAATTTCGAGGATTTATCGTACCCGAAGTATGGAATTACAAAGAACTCCCCGATATCACGACATGGAAAACATTGTAAAACTGCACCGAGAAGATATGGAACGTTTGCGCTCTTGTAAAAATATTGCCGATATGAAAAACAAAAGAAAAAATAACAGAGACGGTGCCAGTGGCATCGGGCAATCATCCGATATATGCGCGATGCTAGGGTTGAGGTAGGTAGACTTGACGCGAACCGGATCGATATAGCACTCTCACTTTCTCGCATTCCCGATGTACAATGACGCACACGTGCCTGCGTGTCTGGAACAGAGACTGGGACCGGTGTAATTTCGACGAGTTCGATTTCTGATGCAACAGACACCACGAGGGAAAGGAATGGGATGTGATAATTGCGATAATCACGTTTTGTTGCTCGTGAATAATAAACGCAAGAACCGCCGTCACGTGTCCGTGACATCGCAGAACTCGGGAAAATTGTACCGGCTCCAAACCCCTGATCTGAAACGAGCCACAGCGGGAAGAATAATCGATTCGAAACTGCTCTGAATTATCGCGTTTGATGTATACGTGATATATTAATTTTATATATATTGAGATAAATTATGCAGGAAATATATCAACTATATATTTTTCTGTGCGCACGTTTAAACGTGCTCTTAATTCTTGAGAGTACTGACGTAAGATGTCATCGAGACGGTATGTAAAATTTTCGTCAAATTTAGGAAGTATTGTTGCAAGAAGTGTTATTGAATACATACTGAATATTGCGTAATAGTATAAGTTAGATATTTCAGGTATATGTAATCTGCAATGAAAATTTATTGGAACATGCGACGAGCAGGTTTTCATTTCTTCAGATGCGCGAACATTGAATAAAACAATACAAGCAAACCAAGCCGATTATTTTTTCTACGGGAGTTACCGCGCGAAATAGGTTAAACTAAGTGAAAGTGAGGAATCTCTATTTTCCCCCCTTGCACATTTTACACCAAAGTTACAAATCCATCGAGCGCGCCCGCGAAAAGAATTCCTTTCACACTTACCCCCGTTTTTTCGTTTCCACCACCAGCTACTCTGTTCGACAAGCATATCCCACACCAGCATTAAAGTACAAAAATACGTGTCATCGTTCTCGAGGGTTAAAGGTTAGGATCCGTTAAAAGCCTAGCGTACCTCTTCTACAACTGATCCTGCAACACACACAGGATCTCGTTTTTCTCTTTCTTTGAACGATCACGTCTGGATGCAAAGACTATTAAAAAGTACACGGAAAAACGGGTGAAATGCCTTGCATTTCTTCCGATGTCTGTCACGTGTGAGACAACTTGCTAGAGCCGAATAAATAAATGCATCGCCATGGCGCATCGAAGGTAGCCGTCGGTAACGAAGATATTCGCGTGCTCGTCCGTCGATATCGAGATTTCGAATTCGCAACACGAAGCGATTTTCGCGGGTGATACGCCAGCTGATGCATCAGCCACGGCCGATGCAGTTGCACATGTAATGCCTGCGCAATTGTTTCGTAATACCTCGTTATTATGGGAATCTCGCCGGTGTATCTCGAACGAGAATGAAGTCGCATCCGAAACGCGCCCGGCAGTTTCAGCGAGACGTCAAGAATCCTCTCTTTGCGCGATTCGTTGTGGGACGAGGCCCTTCTGGAAGATGATTCGCAAAACATGCACCGCGAATTCGATCGATGGCGATCACGCTCGTAACGCGGCTAACTTCAGACAGCGACCTCGGGGGGGATCAAGGCCGGCTCGCGTGCTTCGAATATTCCGTGACGCAAGAGCGGATTGAGACGAATGATCGAGGAAAAGGGGAGAAATAAAAATAATACGTACGACGAGTCACACACACGCGCACATATATAGTACACACGTTGTAAACGAGCTCGTAACAAAGATGGCGGCCGACGATTTGGCAGATCGTCGATATATTGGCCGTCGCGCGGCCACGATGGATCTCATGATTCCTAACAAGCGCGAGCTTATCATCGTGGATTGCACTTACTCACCGGAATGCTCACCAGCTCGATCGCGATCTCCCCATTGCGCTGCGAGCTATGGCCGTTCGTTTTCACGGCAAAAATGCCCGCTTAATGGCCGACTCTGCCGTCCACCAGCGACCGAAACTCCAGGAGAACTGCGCGGGGGGAGAGCGCCACCGGGCATGTGGCGCCATCGTGTGCGGGATGGCGAAATGTGCCGAAATCGACGAGGTAAGAAATTCGTCCGTTCCACTTGTACTTTTTACACCTCGTCGCGTGGAATTCTCTTCGCTCGCCTCGTGTAATCGAACATATATCTATTTCCGATTATTGAAGCGGATAAATGTAAGACTGAAAGACCCGATACTCGACATATTTTTCCTCTCCTCTCTTTTTTCCGACATTCCATTTCGGTCTTTTAATAGGAACTTTCAAAGATCAAAGGTCGAAGGTGAGTGAGGATAAGGATCGATTGATTGCAGCTTCACTTCAATGATGAATGCTACAAGGAAGTAATTGAAAAACGGACTCTATTTAAAAATGTAACAAATTTAATTGCTTTTTTTTAATATAATATTAGGAAAAATGTAACTGCACACTTTTACACGTTCGATGACGAAACATACGATGCCAAGGTGGGATAACTAAGCAACGTACGTGTATCTTAACGTGTCTTATGTACAATACTAAAGTATTACCGCTTCATACGGGTCCTCGATCAGTATAAAAATACTCACATTCGCCATGTAGTGTGTTGGATATACTCTTCGAACAATTGAAAAGTTCAATGTAACAATGTTACACAGTCTAGTCTAACCAACTTCATCAAAACTTAAAAAAATTATTTAGATTGAATTCAAGTTACTTGTAAATTAAGTTCTCATTTTTAAGTATTTTATTTTAAATTATAAATTTGAACTTATTTTCACGAATTTTTAAAGAAATAAAATCGACTGTTCGAAAAATGTAGTCAAGCATTGTCGCATTGAACCCTTTATACTTGGTCGAGATAGATATCATTTCTATGTTGTACCTTGGAATCATCAAACTTTGACGATCTCGCACAAGACGTTATCGGAACTCCACTTGTCGTAGAAGGCAGGTTTTATACACAATCTAGCATAGGCGTGTTTATACATGCGTTCCGGATTGAGAGTCACGCACTCGTTGATTACTTTGCAGTAACATCGCATATCGGACGGCAGAATTAACACATGTGGCTGTTGATCGAAAAATGCATATTTTTCCCACAGCTCCGTGTCGACGTTCAGATCCTCAGACGGAGGATAAACAGGATAGAAACATCCTTGTGCGAGCACGTGATCAGCCAGGCGGCCGAGTCTATCCATGCCGGATATATCACTGAAAAAACATATATAAATACATATAAATTATATAAAGCGTGGAAAAAATTCTCTAATAGATTTTTATCTAATTTTTCAGTGAAAATTAAGTTTTTCCTTTATTTTATCTGGAGCTGATTTTTTGTTTGGTTAAGTTATTTATACAAATAAAGGGACACTTACGATATCTCTTCTTTCCCGATATGCTTAATAACATCGACTGACGTGATACCAATTTTCAAGCCAGAGACGTCCAATATACAGGGATCCGGCATCAATTTCAAATTTGAATAGTTTTGAAACAACTTTCTATTAAAAATGGTATACTGAGGAGTGGGAAAAATAGGTTCATGATACGCGTCACGATTAGAAGCCACCAACACGACCTGTGTGCTCCTCCTGTAACATCACACAACAGAGAGAAATGAATCCATCTGCTGCTCGGGCAAGTTGCAAAGAGTTATTACTTTTAATCGTTCAATAATCCGCAAGGAATGTCTCGATATTTCCGTAAAGAGAAAAATCGGCTCGAAAACTCGAAGAGTTTGCGATCGCGAGAACTATTACGAATAAGTAAAAATATCCTGCGCCTTACTTCACTGACTCCATTATCTTCGCGAGAGTCTTCTCGAAGAGTTCCTGATGCGTGTTCTTGAGGAGGCCATCCTGTATCTCAGGGTGCGTGTACTCGAGGAAAGGTCCAATGAGCACCAGGACGTGTGGCTCGTCGGACGCGACCTTCTCCATCAGGTCCCACAACGGCTGATAATGCATGTTGTTCGATGCGGTGAACGGACCGGCCGCGACGAAGATGTTGATACTCGACTCGATCCTGGGTGCGCACGTCGGCGGCGCGTACGCCTTCGCGAATATCTCCCTCGCGTAGAGCGTATCGCCCACCGGGTTCGTAGCTTCAACGGCCACGATCTGACCGGAGAAAACCGAGTAGTGTTTGACATTCCGGAAGTCCAGCTCAATCGAGTCGGCCGCCGAGGCGCCCCTCCGCCTCGTGCAACCCTCCAACGTCACCGTGTTCGCGGACTGCTTGTTCGTGTTGACGCGGCCGAAGGTGCGGAAGTACGTCTGACTCACGCTCCGCACAGTTTTCACGTAACGCAGGTCACCCGACGCGTTGCCGCTCGTCGCTGACCACATTTTGAACAGTCGGTTGCCCAGGTTACGGCAGACAGATGTGAGGAGATTTCCCTGCTTCGATAGGATCTCGTACATGTAACTAACGTCGCTAGGAACGTGCGGTTCGTCGGACTTCATGACTTCCTCGCTGTAATCTCCCGTCCTTTTCCAAGATATCGCGGTTTTCTTCTCGTCGGTGGAGAGCAAGATCTTTTCTTTGTCCGTTGCATTGCGCTGACTCGGCGGTGCGCTTTTGGATATACAATATTAAAGTGACTTTGCGAGATAGGTTTATAATCATGCGCAATATGAAATTTATTAGATATTTATTAGCGAGAGGATAAAAATACTTTATATCTGTGTAAAAAAATATGAGATTTTTTTAAATTTCATTCATTCAATCTAAAAATTATTCTTATTCTCTGTTATATATTAAAATTTATGTACTTGTTTCAGGTTTATTGTGTGACTGATATTTAGTTGCAAATTTTGTAGTTTCAGAAAAAAAATTTAATAAAAAAAAATAAAACTAAAATTTCTCTAATCTGCTTACGAGTTCTCGGCGTAGCTAGTTGGTAAAAACTCCGCAGTTTTTGTCGTGTCTTTGGTCCAAGTATCCGCGTTCGTCTCTACTTCCGGACTTTTCTGTATTTTCATGCGCTACAATGAAACAAAAGATAACACGAGTTACCTATATTCAGATCACTTTATATAAGTTATCGCAACGTCAATTCATCGTAATTAAGTTGTGACGTTATTCATCGTAATTAAATCCATGTATGCATAATATAATTCATGTATGCATAATCCTTAATTAAAATAGATTCACTACAGGATTAAAGCTTTGTAGAACTCGCTATAACTGTTTTTTGTTTAATGACGTTAGAAGCGGGAAAACGCATGCGAGGATTTTTTGCGTCATACTTGCAAATCGAAACATATATTCACAAAATAATAATTGTGATCAATTCAACACGCTTCTCAAGTTAAACGAACACTGTTCTTTCATTACAATTTATTTTATTTATTTATACAATTAATAAATAGTCGTTAAAATTAACTTGACAGAATCTTTCTTTCTAACTTCTTCGATATTAATTTTAATTTTACGACTACTCATTGATTGTTCGAATAAAAGTGTTCATCCGATTTAACAAGTTTGTTGAGTCAAACATAAACGTCATTTTGTGGATACATTGTTTTTATTTGAAAATATAACGCAAAAAACACAAAGACAGTCGTAGTATTTACTCCGGAACCTTAATTAGGAAATTTTATATGGTATTTGATTACTTTCAAATAATAAATAACCAATTTTATTTTGTTGGGTTTATTACTAAAAATCGCATATTTCAAATTTCGCAAGTTTTACAAGACACATTATTATTATTAATAATTAAAGAAAATAGAATCGTTACAATTCTATACATTTCGACTAATTATTATCAATTCTCTAGTGAAACAAGGGTCTCTTATCGTCGATAAAGCTCCGTGGACATCATTTCATTTTACGAAATCCCGATACTAAGACAGATTGCCATAGACGAGTATGTATCTAGTCACGAAATGACATAACGAGAACGTGCACCACATTCATACTCGTCTATGGAATTGCTTTTTTTTCCCTCCATCATTCAACTCAACGTGCTTCGTATGTTTAGTCGAAAACGGCAATTATCGACCGGACATCGTACACAATGCTCATTTTAAATTTTTCAACAAAAAAATTAAAAAGATGTAATGAAGAATTCTGAAAGATACTCAGTCCCGCGAATTGCCGTCAAGACACGATGTCGGATCCGACTCGGTTTACGAGCACGAGTGCTCGAAAACGCGCTCGACTTGTTTATCGGCCGCTCTATATAATATGCGCGCACATACGTCTCGATCTCGCCGATTGTTGCGCGTGATTGCTGCGACGCGATGTCCGAACGTGCTTAATGAGTGTGGATCTAGTCACAACTTGAACGAACCGTGCACTAGACCACCACTCATTCGGCAAATTCGGAGGGATCGTCTCGCTCCGTCTTCTCTCGCTGTCGCTCCTCTTCTCCGTGGCGCATGTGAGATGCTCGATTTCGCAGCATATACGTTAGCTTCGCGGGCAGCAACGGACGTCATATGAGAAAGGTTAACTGCGATTAACCTGCCTGTTCTTAACGCCCGCTTCTTTATTACGCATTGTTTCAATCAAGTTCGGAGAAGGTCCCAACTCGTGCGCGTCCGATGCCATCCGATACGTTCGGCCGAGAACTCAGTCTTTCAATCGAGATCCAGTTGACCGGCTCACTCCGCTGCAGCAACGCACGTCGTCTCAAGTCGCGTACGTTCCGAGTAACGTTGCTTCGCACGTGACATGCCCCTACCTCTCACTTTTTTTTCACTTCGTTTCTCGCCTCGTGGACACGCAACGAACTGCGAAGGTTTCCGTGCCGACCCGGCGGCGAAACAACAAACTTTTTGTCCCCGACGGAAATATACCTTGCGTGCCTTCCCGCCTGGCAAAACGTACCTGGCAAGACCCTTGCTCTTCGGACGAAAATATATATTTCGGCCTCTCGGCAAAAAGAATCTTGAACCACCGACGAGATGTATATTCGGCGGTTCAAAATGAGGAGCTAAAACCGGTATTACTTCGGTGAGATCAGATTTCGATGCTACAAACATGCGAAAGTGATCTTTGCCCCTACCCGGTGACAAAAGAAACGCGACGTCCAATCGTTTCCTCTAGCGAGGTCCTTTATATCTGTCCAGTCCAATGTATCTGTAGCTTCGAAAGTTGAACTCACGACAATTATATCAGATTTCATTTTTCTAATTTATCTCAAGATTTAGATAAATACTCGATGTTAACATTTGTGTGTGTGTGTGTGTGAATAATTGACCGTGTAATGAACAATAATTGACCGTTAAGATTCTCGAAGTTTCACGAAATTTTCAATACACGTTTGAAACGTTCGAAGCCTTCTGAAAGCTTTTAGGAACATCCGATTCTCGGGACTTCTGACTTCCTAAACGCTTCGTCATGCAGTTGAATTAATCCCGTAATTATTTACGGATCGAGAAGTGTCCGGCGCCGATTGATACAGCGCTGTCCTCTCCCTTCCTTGTCATTTCGCTCCTCTGCTCTACCCGACTTGTCTCGATTATCCTTGACACCTTTCATTCGTTTGTTCTCAGACCGTGGGAAAGTACGTTCGATTTTGGCCAGTTACACTCGCGCTTCGCCACCGAAGAAGGGGGCTACTCTAACCGCCACCGACCAGTCGACCGACCGCGTTCGTTCGTTCGTTCAGTATGCACACGATATATATATATATATATATACATATATATATACATATATTGATCTGTCTTACATCTGAGTCACGCACCACATGGTACGAAGAATAGAGATGAAAGAAAAGTGCGACGGACCGAAAGCCGTGCGGGCGAGGGAAGAGATTGGTAACAGTTGTTGTTCAATTGCACTTAATTGGCGGAGACACCACGAACGGGCGGACAGGCGGCGCACGAGGAAACCGTGTGCTCGAAGAACGTGATATCTAATATGGAATGCGAGTTGCTCGCATCGCTTATCGGTAGGAACGCCGCGTGTACAGACGGCTGTTCTCGACGATTCACCGATCGAGCAGAGAAAGTTACACGCGGGCAACGATGAACGAATGAATGAACGAACAAATGAAAACCGACGGAAGGCAGGTTTAACGTAGCCAGTGAAAGGTTTCCGGAGGAAAATTTAAATTACCCTTTTAACTCCGTGTGTCGAAAGCATCAAATGTCGAGGTCTTACTTTGTGTAATTTTCATTTTACTAGATTCAGAAAGGCTTAGAACGTTCGTACGGAAACTAAGAACGAAAAGAAGATACAATTATGTTTTGGAAAATTTTCTAATTTTAAATAAACACAATGAAATCACCGAGTTTTAGATTAGAAGATTAGTTGAGAAATAATGATAAGGTATCAGCTGTAATGATAGCAAATTAAATCGGACTTTGTGGAAGATTATGTTTGTCGTTAAAAGTAAATAATACTTCAAAAACCAAAATATTAAGTATAATCGAAGTTTATTTATCGTTAAATACGTACTTCCCCGAAACTCCAGCTTGAAGTTTGCAAAACGACAACTAACTCCCGTAATTGCAATAAGATAATTACTGACTTTAAAAGCATATCCTGAGAATCTTTAACCATGAGTGCGACTTCTCTGGAAAATCTCAATTTTGAAAAGAGGAGAAAGATCGAATGTGTTTTTATTGCAAATATCCGTTTACCAGACAAGTGTACACGACGTTCTCAGTTCAAGAACTACTAAGGTAAAATTAGATTTACAGGTTCCTCGATAAAAAGCTTNTATATATAATATAATATATAATCGTAGAAATAAATGATACAAACACATAAGAGGCAAGAGAGAATCGAAACTGATATCCATCGATATTTAACTTTTAGTTAACGCCACAGATACACCGGAAAGGTTCTTACGTTAATTATTACGTTCCTATCGTCACGCGGTACCATTCATCGTGGGTGCAACAGGTTGCAGCAACAGGCAGCGCGCGATCCAGGATTCACCGAACGAACGGTCGACGCACTCGTATACCCGCGCGCCGCACGCCTGCGTCGCGGCTTCCTTTCCCACGACCGCGCATGCGCGCCCAAGTCGCGCAACGCTCGCGAAAGCGAGGTTAATCGCTGGAGCGACCGTATTTCTCCAGCATGCCCGTCATGTTGATCGCTGGCCGATCGGACTCCGCCTTCACGATGACGCGTATCTCACTCGGTGCGAATGAACGCGATATCCGGACGACTTCTCGCCGTAGACGAAGGATACCGAGCGAATCGAGCCGCGCGATCGGCAACGGAAACGACTCGCGTTCTCGAGCTTCACTCGCGCCGAAATCCATCATGGCCGCCAACGTCGCCGCTCGCTTGGCGCTCTCTCTTTATCTATCTCTCTCTCTCTCTCTTTCCCAACCACGTAACCGTCTCCTGCACTCTCCTTCGTAATCTCCTCGGCGAGGACACACAGCCGGCGAAATATCCGAGATCTTTACGATTCGCGAATTGACGTAACTCTGACGCGCTTCGATCGTTCGGACGCGCTGGAATCCGAGGTAGAACTGCGACCGCTCTCGGTCCTCCCCCCCTCCCCCTGCTGCCGATGGTGGCGTCGCGTCGGCGACGCCATCGAGATACCGAGCCGAGCTTGTATCACTGCGATGATAAAGATACAATTACGATGTACATCAGCGGGACGAAGTGTTAAATGAGAGACGCGATCGCACCGGCAGATTTTGCCCGACGCTTTTGTCCGCCGAAGTGATGCGCACGCGAACAAGCTGGCGGACGGTACAACAAGGTCCTTGAAAACTGAAATCGTGCCCTTCGAAAGAAATCTGCTCGGCTCTCTCGGTAATGGCGAGAGGGGAGGAGAGGGAGATCCCTCTCCCGACGAAGCGACACGTTCTATCCTCGTTCCGCCAATAGAAACGGGTCGCCCCCTTCCCTCCTCGAGTGCCGGAGTATCCTTTGTAAGAGAGAAAGCGGGGCGACAGCGGGGTGGGGATAACGGCGGGGTAATCTACCTGGGTGATTTTTGTGGCGGGAATTACGGTGCCACCACGCGAGATCCTGTAACGACGCCGCTGTTTCTTCTTCTTCCTATGCCCCCCGAAGAACGAGAGAGAGAGAGAGAGAGAAGATCACCTGCTGGCAAATGGAATGCGCGCGATGCGACGTTTCAGAAATCTTTCGTTGATCGGACGAACTTCCGACACGGAATCCTAACAGGAAGAATTGGCACAGACGCGCGATCTTTTCGCGAACGCAGCGTGGCATTGTGAAAAGAACCGCGCGTTCACGCACGATACGTGAGTCAGAGAAAGACAACGGGCATTCTATAGATCGACCGAGGATCGACCGTGCGAAGAATGCGAGACAGTGTTGCCAGAACGACGTAAATCATCCACGTACCGGAGTGCCTGCCGGAACAATGCTACTCCGTCACGGCGTTTCTTCGAAAGGATATGAAGTCGTCTATTCAGGTTAAAATAGACAGCCGAGAACTTCCGAAGTACATCATGTACTCTACATTTCGCAGGAGATCATTCTACGCCATGAACGAAATAGCACAGGGGATACTGATTGTAATAACACACACACACACACACGCGCGCACATATACGTGCGAAGCGAAATAAAAGTTAAAAAAATTTAGATAAAAGAGATCTACGCAGTGGAACCTGCTATGTTCGCGGTAACATCGATAATTACGCAGATTGGAAAAAAGTAACGAGTTGTAATAGACATGTTTGCATCGACCTCGACATACGCGTCAAGTGACTCAGCATATAATACCATAAAAGAAATATAAAAATTCAATATAAATTACTACGAATGTTACATCTAAATATTAAATATGAAAAAGAATATATTTCTATGGAAGAATATATTTCTAAGGAACAATCGTCTGATCTATGTTGAGAATAATAAAATTACTTTTGCAACTTTAAATTATTTTCCATCATATAATTATCGTAATAACATCTGACAATTTTGTATTCTTTCTTATTTATTTTTAATTTAATTTTCCCCCTTTGAGTATTATCAAGATAAAATTGGGTACATGTATTTTATATTTGAAGCTTAGGGTATTGTGAACTTTCTTTTATTGATAAATATGTCTCAAAAAGTGGTTTGGGAACCACCTGATTGGATGAGTCACATTTAAGGCACTTTTATCGATAAAAAAAAAAGAGTTCAAAACATGGACTTAGACGTGTGGAATATAAAATATATTACCTGCTATCTTTTTATGTACTTGACATCACTTCACTACTATGACACTTGATCAAATTGATAATAGAGACACTAAATATATGTTATATATGTATAAATATATTATATATATATATAATATATACATGTATAAATATATAATATATATATGTATAATATATATATGTATAAATAGATGTTACATATATTATCTCTAAATAACGCTTATAATTTAGCAGATTAATTTTGTCAGTACAGGACTTTTGTCAGGACTTGAGAAAATTTTGATTGAGATTATTACTATTTTCTACATAAATTAAGGAAAAAATATAAATAATAAATAAAGAAATAATAAAAACTCACCTTAGATGGTTGAGCCTCAGAATAGCCATACATGCTAAGCACATCATCAGTTTCACTATAATAATCATATGTAAGGTATTACATGTTAATAATTATAAATATAAACAAAGAAACATGATACATGTCAGAATAACATGTCTCTCAGAATATCTAATAAAATATTAAAGAACTTACAAGACTTCATCTTTAATAATAAAGAATTCATCCTTTGTATTTTGTTGCAGTTCCACACAATTTTCCCCAGTTGGATTATCTGGCTTGTAATCTTTTTTCAGTATTGCATTTTCCATCTCAATGAGAGCTTTGACAGTGGGATTAATATCAGCATCAATATTGTTGCCATTATTAATGCAAAATGTAAGCCACAATTCTGTAAGTTTCTCCACGTCCACGCTGTATAATTCGCACAGCTCGAAACCTGTAACACAACCATTACAATGATCAATTCCAATGAAAACATTACATCGACTTTCTAATAATAAATCTTATTATACAACCGCATTCTTTTAATATTTCTAATATAAATAAATCTGGCAAATATAAATTAAGAAATACAAAATTTTCTGCTAATATGTAGAAAGAATTGCATCACCGTTGGAATTGTGATTACGATTTGATTTTTTACATTACTGAATCGATATTAGTAGATCAAGTCAATTCAAATGCAATCAAATTTAACCGACAATTCTTTTAAATATCCTATATACCTATGTTGTGTTTATTCGATAGCCTACCAGTGTGAAAGTAAGGTTATACGAGAGCAAAGAAAGATAACCTCTTTTATGACAAATGTTCAGTTACGATCATTTTATGGAAGATACACCCGATCATATAATACGATGATTTTACTTTCAACGCAACTAAAATAAAAGTTTCAAGGAACTTCATATTTATCGTAAATGTAATAAACTCAAGTTAGAATGCAGCTCGTGATACAAGACCATAATTTCGACGAGAATCTTATTTTTATGAACTGAGAGAATCAAAGGAATGCTTACATTTCTCGAGAACAGTGTCATTTTCAACTGTGCAGCCTAACTCCTGGAACAGCTTCAACAAAGATTCTCTTTTTTCCATCTTACGTACGGTTAGATGTTCCCAGTCGCTCTTACCGCCAAAACTGTCGATCACGGTGTGTTTCCAAACGAAGAAATAAATTCCACGCAAGCGCAGTGATGTTAGAGTACCAGTTGTTTTCACAATGAGCTAGGTATACAATAACTGTTCATTTTTGCTGCACCGCTGAACTAGTGCAATAAGTTGAAGCGAGACAAGTATATGTTTTTTTCACTTCAACTTATTGCACTGGTTCAGCGGTGCAGTGAAAACGAACAGACCTTTTGATTCCGTAATAAGTTTAACGGTTTGACTATCAAAAACATGCCGATCACTTATATACTAGGTTTATATGACTTGTAATAAATAACGAATAATCGTAATTAATGTTCTCGTTTGCACGACTCGCATAAGAATGAACGTGTCGTTACTTCGAGAATCTCAATAGTTGCAATGTTCAATTAAATAGGAGCAGGAGCAGTTTCGACAATCGCTCCATTTTTCCGCAAGTCCGAAGTTTCCGACTTTTCGAAATTGAATTCTGTATTCGATTTAAGGTCGGAAATATTAAAAATAAATAAATTTCGTCTATTTATAGTGATATAATGTCATTAAATAATTTTCGAAAGTAAATATCTCGTGGTCGAGTTGTGAATAAAACTTTAAATCATGAATCAAATTGTACTTATTCGGAGTTTAAATGCACTTTACGTTTTAACGTGCCAAAGAAAAGCCTTGTGTATGAATTATCATTAGGAATGTTGAAGGCAGATTTCGTGAATTTGACTTGCACAGTTTTTTACAGTTAAATGAATCGTTGTGATTGGCCCGTTTATGCCGTATCGATCGTGTCGATATACTTCGAGAAACTCAATCGTTGCAATATTCAAGCAGTTATGAAACGAGTCGCGACGCAATGGCTGGACGCCAAAAAGTCAATTTCGATAATCATCGGTATTTTTCGCGATTTTGGCTCGCTAAAGGTGAATCTTACGTTCGAGTTATCATCGGGAGTGCTGAAAGTAAGTCTCACGCATGTACGTAGAAAAATATTGTCGAATAATAACTGAAAATAAATATCCAGCCAACAGGTCTATTTTGTAACTTTTAACGACCGTATTTTTATTGTTACGTTATCGTTGTCCAATTTTTTCACCACATATAGCTGCGCAACAGCAACGCAAAGAAGACAACATTATCGTTAAAAGTTATAGAATAAGCTTACAGGAGTGCCGAGTATAATGGTCGGTATGGAAAGTGAATATTTCGTTGTCTGGAATCGAATAAAATGTCGGTTATTCGTCGTATTATGATTAATACGACGAAGAGATTAAAATGTCGGTTATTCGTCGTATTATGATTACTTAAAATTCAAGTAGATGTGCTTTCTTTATATTAATTTTGTGCTTTACGATTTATTGAAAGAGTTTCACGTATAAATTATTTTCGGATTAGGTATAAAGGTCCTTCCCATGAGCATGTCACGACGGTCTCTTGACGCCACCACACTCTCACGAAGGCTAAGAACCGAAGAGAAGGAGGACTATAAAGGTAAGTTTCTTTATTACTAAGATTGAAACAAGTATATTTATTTTTTCAAGTTCCTATTTATAGGCAGGTACAATATTCCATCCCTTGAAAGATTAATTAGGTTTATCAGGAAAAAATACTAAAATTTACCATTTATTCATTAAGATAGAGAAAGCATTGTTGTAATAGTTTTTCAAAAGTTCAAAATTTCATTATTTCTTGTATAGATATAAGTCGTAGAATTCTATTATCTTCTATTTCTATATTTAATAAAAATTAATAATTTTATTTCGCATTTTATTACCGTTAATAATAATTATATACATTTATACAGTAATTTTGTGGTTCTTACGAATATAAATTAAGAGAATATTGATTTTTTTATTACTAGATATGGTGAAAATATTCTTAGTTCTTATTTTATTTTTTGATTTACTCAATTCGTAATTTATTTTTATTTTATAGTTCAGTATAGAAAGAAATGTCAAATTATTCTTAAAAAAATTGCACTAAAAATATAACGATTACACAGTCTTCGTAAAAAAGTATAAAGAAATTCTGATATTTAAGCAAAAATAATCGTTCAACTACATATTTCTATAATTTCTTCTTAAAATAATACACGTATAAGATTTCTTTCCAATTTTAATCTCAAACTTAAAGAAAACTTTTCAATACAAAATCCTCAAAACGGCAGTTAATTATTTATCGTATAATTACGTCAATATGTAAGTTCATAAGCTGCAACTAATTCATCTAATACATTGCGTAATCCTAAGCAAACATATGAATTTGCCGATTCACCTGACATTTACGCATTGCAATATGGTCGTCAGCCGAATATTTCATATCATATATCGTATTGTAAATACATTTTAGCTGTCTTAAAAATTTTATGTCAATTACTACATTGACATTCGGTACTAAAGTACGCTGATGTGCACGTTGTTTGGCTACAACGCGTATGCATTCACTATAACAATTAATAGAAACATAAAAGATATACTTTTATATCGAGATCTTGCAATATCTGCAATAAAAATTTTTTTTACAATGCGATTAAATTTATCGTTATATTATTTTACTATGACACATCAGCTATACTCACATTAACGGTTACAAAATACATTAAAAATCAGAGTCTTCAACGGCAACTGATTTAGAGTTCAATAGCGAAAAGGATGATCGTCCTTTTACGAAATCGCGAGCACACTTTATTATCACATTATGCTGCTAATCATCGTCATTAAGAAACTTGTCTAGTGGATTCGGGCCCATCCTCTTCGGTTTACTCGTCGATGCTTTCTCCATATTGTCACCTAAAACGTGTTCAGAATTGATAAAAAAAACTATAAAATTATTTTTAAAAAACTATAATAGTCAAATATGAATTCATGTCTTGAAATATGAATTAATATTATGACTTCAAGTTAATGTACTTTCAAGAAATTTCGCAGGATACATATAAATTATATTGAACGTTGTCTTTTATGCTGCAGGTGTGTTTATAAATATGTAGGCTTATTATTTTTTTATGAATTTACAAATATTTTGAAATATATACCCATATAGCGCAAATGTCTAATAGACGTTCTAGGAACGTCCCAGAAATATTCGAATATCTCCGAGACGATCCTAGAATATCTATTGAACATTTGTGCTACATGGTTATTCAATACATAAGAATTGTAAATAAGATGGAAGTAAGTGAAATAGGGAAAAGAAAATGGAAAATAAAACACATTTCGACCTGTCGTTGAACGTTGAGCATTGAGACAACTAAGCCACTCCGTCATACTGATCTTTCTGTCATTATTGATGTCACAGTATCTCGGTAGCTTCTTGCCGCATCTCCGAAGCTGCTTGTTATTCGCCACCATTTCACGAAAACTTTTCCATTCTTTCCTTTCTAAAACCTGAACGGCATGACAATTCTATCAATTAGCTCTTACATTACGAGAGATTAATTAAAAATTTCATCGGTCAACAGTTGCTTTACTAAACATTGGTCAACATTACTTTTACAATATAATATTTTTTTTTTTTACAATATAATACAATATAATTTTTTTCTTTTACAATATTTTCTTTTACAATATAATCGATTCAAGATAAATATTTAACTTTACGTTTTTGCATGATTTTATACGTTATAAACGTTTGTATAAAAATATGAAATGAGAGCTATGGAATCGTTTTAGCTTTTAAACAATTTTATGAACATATTCTCGGAGTTAATGCAGGTGCAACTACCTTTCGAAAAAACATTCTTTTTTGTCGTTAAACTTAAATTCTACCTTGTTCTTATTTTTATCAAGCATCACAAAATGCCACGTAGCTATCCTCTCCTCCTTAGACGCCTGCCAGTTGGTGGTAGTCTCGTCGGATTCGGTGTTCGATTCCTTCATCTTCGTTTGCATGAGATCCATTAGATCTCGGAGAAATAGTTGCTTTTTCAAATCCGGACATCCTGTTGATGTTCAATAATGACAGTCGTTATAACGCGATAAGTGCGATAAACACATGTTATCTTGAAAGATACTCGTTCTCTAATATTGGACTCGAATTAATTACGATATATATTTTTTAAAGAAAGGAAAAAAGGAAACATTGTGTTTCAAAATACTTGCCTTTCATAGGTCTGCTGGGAGTTGGAACTGGGTTGCAATTTGGCACGAGATTTTTCGCGGATGTTCCCGGTATAGGTTTGCCCGTGTCCTGATACACACACCAGCAATAACCCGAATAACATTGTATTCGAAGGTATCTTCCATCGGGTGTACATTCCGGAACGTAAAACTTCTCTTCCGAATGTATTTGATCTTCCAACGCCGCTTTTCTATCCGCGGTACAATCAATCGCTGCAAAAAATTATAATTAATTATATATTATTTAATCTAACTGAATCAATATTAAATAGTTCCTAAAGGTAATAAAATTATTGCAACGTGAAGCAACAAACAGACAAATGCTGCGTTACAATAACGACCAAGGAACCATTGCGAAGGATCTATAAGAATCAATTAACTTGCGTTTAATTAACCAAGCTCGTTAAATGAAGTTATATGTTAATCACAATTAGAAATGCGGCTTACCATCATTTTCCTCCTTAGTGTCCGTAAGTTCGTCGGTAAACGTCGGTTTCGAATGAATAGGTGCAGGGCTACCTTTTAAAACTGCGAAAGATACTTAAGGTTAGTGTAACACTGTCCTTAGACGAATTTAATGAAACACAACCACTGATTCCTTGATCCCCAAAACTTTGATATATTGAATACAATATGTCCGAACACACATTACCTTTACCACCGTGAAATGCATAAAACAAAATTGCTATTTATCGATTATTATATATGACACTATTATTTTACTATTAACTGGTACTGAGGACGAAATACAATGACAAAAAACGAGATACAAATACAAATAGAAACAAAATACAAATCGTACAAAACACGACTGAATCAATCGAGATTAAAAATGAATAACAAGTGGTGCATTTCATTTTGACAAAACGGTATTGCAAAAAATTTTATATATGTCGCGAAAACGAGATGTTACGAGATATAAAAGAGAAAAAGTAAGAAAAAGTAAACGTTTGTGTCCAATCTCACGAGTCTATACCGATGATCATTTACAAGAAATATCGCAAGAGTTTCGCGTAAAATGTGTTTTGATTGAGCATATTCGATCGAAATATTTTGTTCAGCATGTGTGTATTCTGTACAGCTTGTGAGGTTTAAAACAAATTGTTAATTGCAGCGGTTTATAAACAAAACATGATGTATATATGTACAGTTTGCAAAGTAATTTTGCAAATTTGTTATTGACATCAAAGTTTTCGTATTTTACAGACTACGTATTATACAGAGAAAGCGCTGCCACGTCAAGGCTTGTTAATTTATTATTCGTGAATTTAACAACAAGACGCAACTTCGCACTTTCACTCTTTAAGTCTTCATTACATAAGCTATTTAAATAATGATAATAATATTAAATTACAAGTAATTATTATTATTAAATTTAATGACACCAAAAAGTGCCTTTATTTCCATTGCTTTCCAATTTATATTAAATCGTTTCCGATAAATAGAGAATAAATTTTAATTCACGATTGGCTGACGCGTGTATAAAGTAAGTACTGCTGTGAGAAACAAATAACCTTAATAATATTTAATCCTATAAAAAGGATTATCATTTATTAAAATATAAAAAGATATATACGTGACAACGCTTTTGATTTGCAAGACTGGGACTCACCTTGGTCCGTGGCCCGTGTCCTTTGGGCCTCAGGGACCTCGGGGCGCTCGTCTGCGGGGTTCAGCGACAAGAACAAATGTACTAAATGATAACAATGATGTCACTCAGCCGACCGGCCTTACCTATATATGTACAATTTTTGTTTTGTGTCATTCACGCATCGCAGGTTTATTTTAGCACAGCAACGAGCGGGCGAACACGGATAATAGTGCAGCAACGACAGAAAACGTGCGCGCGCATAACATGCACGTTAATGCCGACCCTTTGTACTCGTATAACTAGTTGCGTCGCGTGTGCTCGATTCTTACTTAGAGAGTGATTAAAATAGTGCAATTAAAATAACAGCTCGGGAGGGAGAACATTTTGTGGAATAATCGAAACTTGCGGCGTATGGAATAGTTCTCGGCTAGATCTTATTTTTGCGGATATCTTTTAATTGGATTTCACAGGGATAAAATTTTTGCTTTCTCGTCTATCGCAATTTTCTCTACCCGAGGAAACTTCTAATTTAATCATAGTAATTCTCGAGCAGTTCGTAATGACATTCAGATCGACAAAACATGCTGTCCATTCAAAAAGTCAATTATGTTTAGTAAAAGAAGCATGTTAGCATGTTATCATTGCCGTCGTGATCGCATAAAAAGAGAGAATGCATTTTTTTACATATGAAACAAAAAAATGAGAGTGTGTTTTAACTCCTTTTCATACGAGGAAGACATGTAATTGCCCGTGTTATTAGCTGCCGTTAGGCCGTTAGGCGCAAAACATTTGCGTGCATTTCTACAGGTCTACGTAAAAAAAGCAGTATCTAATTTTATTTTGATTTAGCGTAGTAATTCTCTACTCTTTCTCGAAGTTTACGTGCCGAACTTTACTACTATTTTACAGCATAATAATACTGACAACCCCAGAACATTTCTTTCAAAAATATTTCGACAAAAAAAAAGAAACAATCGTTAAAATCGTTAAAAACACAGCGTCGAAGTTATCGTGATCGTACTCTTTAATTCGCTCATAGTTTACGTCCGTTCTGTGCAAATCAAGCAATTTTACTTCATCTCAGGGGCGTCCACTCTTCGTCGAGATTACACGAACGTCTAACGTCACGTTCAGGATTTCACGCAGACACCAGCGGTTTACGCGTCATTAGACGCTCGCAAATAGCAAATAATCTTTGTCGTCGCGACGCGTGGGCGAGGATTTAGCTTCGTATATACGAGGTCAATTGCTTCAATTCCTCGGCGACCGGTCGCCGTTTCGTGTGGGCAAACTTCCGGCAGGATTCGCAAATGTTAAGCATACGGATCGGCGCGGCCACATGTGCTCCTTAACGCGCGTGACATCCTGTCGCGGCGCAGCGTCGTCGTCGTCGTCACCGTCGTAGTCGTTGCTTTAATTCAAGCAACGATTTAGACGCCGAAATGACGTTGCTCTTCCGGCATTACGCTTAACGCAGAAAATTGCCACCGCCGTTCCCCGCGTGTGCATGCTCGCCGCGTAATTTTGCGCAGTCGCCCACCGCTATTACCGTCACCATCGACAACCACCACTACCACCATCATCATCACCATCACCACTACCGTCACCATCATCATCATCGACATCATCATCAGAGAAAACCGGAGGAAAGCGCATGCAATATGTGTTAAACTTACGAGTGAAATCATTCACGAGGCAAGCACCCCATTCCTGTTTGGATAGCTTTAAATCTCGATTTAGGTCGCACGTGCGGGCGAACGTGCGTGCGCACTTCTTCGGTCTCACCGCCTTCTTAGCGAGTCTTCTAAGCTCCTTGTACTCCGTTCTGTTCAAGAAGCCGTCCCCGTCCTTGTCCAGAGTCGCGAATTTCCATGAGAGCACACGCCCGACGTCCTTATCGCCTAACAAGCAACACGTGTCTCAACATTCCTCGATGTTACATCCGGCCAATATCTCGAGTGTGTTTGGGCCAGGAATATGTGTGTCTCTTCGTTATTCGTAACGAACCGAAACGAACGAGTTACTCTGTATTATCGAAACTGGAAATCACTCTTCTAATTAAAAAAAAAAAAAGCAACGAGCTACGTTAATCAAGCGGCCCAATTATTCAGTTCAATGAGCATCATACGCTCTCATTAAAAATATTAAGAATATTAATGATTATCCGCCTATAAATCTCGGGAAACATCTTAATGCGGAAAACGTAAACGGACGCTAGCTCGATTCATTAAATTTCTCTCGACGAAATCCCATGTGTATTGCGCGTAGCTTACCATCAGCGGATATGTTCGTCCGTCTGTACTCGATCTTGAAGTTCTCGATGAGGTTCGCGTTGAACTTGGCCTTTTCGTTGCGATCGCAAGTATTCCGGTGCCGGTTGCTGTCATACTGCCTGCGCTGTTTGAAATTCGGCGAGCGCCGTCTCTGGCCGCTCCTAGTGGAAGCAGCGGAAGCAGATCTGGAACCGGGTCTCAAACATCGTGGTCTTTTGTGTCTTACCGACGTGTCGGGCAACGGCCGACCTTGCGGCGTCACGCACCAGCAATACCCGGTTTCCGCGTGACATTGGACCGGCGCGTACGTACCGTCCTGTCGACAAGTGGGCTCCGCGCCCGTTCGAGCAGTCAGCTTCGCCGAGAAGCACGCCGGTGTCTCTGGATAATCGGCCAAAGAATACGTTATCACTCGCGTAATCGAGAGAAATGCAATCGGAAGACTGAATATGACTACCTTCTTGATGGAAAATCAACGTAGCCTGATATTCGTAGCCCGTGTTAACGTTGATAAATAATTATGACTCCTTATTAATTTCTATTCATTATCAATTTGTTATTATTTCATACAGGAATATTGAGACGGACAGCCGAATGACGGTCTCTACAGGGGAAAAAATTCTTTCGAATCGATAAAATTTCCAACCGCAGCGCGATTGGAGTAAATCATCTTGATTCAATGGAAAATATCATTATGATTATCATTATCAATAATGATATAATTATATATATTCACACGAAATATATAAAAATACTCGATTTAGGTCACACGTGCGAACGAACGTGCGTACGCACTTCTTCGGTCTCACCGCCTTCTTAGCTTTATCTACGTCTTCGCCTTCTTAGTTGAGTGGAAAAGGAAAAATTAATTCAATTCAATTAAATGTTTACATAGTAGGTAACCATAAACATAAGTATTTACTCCAATTATATTCGTATAGTAACATTCTCTTTAAATGTGGAACATATATAATTATATATCATAATTATTGATTTTTTCGTTTAAATTTATCAATTTTATTAATTATATATGAGCATATAAAAATAAAATTCATATATAATCATTTTTTTCTGGGAAAGTATTAGTTCAATGTTCAATTCAATAGTTTTATATTGTCATTGAATCAAGAAGATCCACTCTAATTACACATGTTGTTGGGAATTTATTGATTCAGCGTTTTTTCCGTGTATAAATACAATTTTGCAATTGATTATTCGTTCAATTAAAGATTGTAAATAATTTATGATTATGAATACCGGCCTTAAAAAAGAGAAGGAAACCTCGATAAGTGATCCTTGAAGATTCAACAATTCAGTAAGATCGTGACGATGAACGAAAAAATTTACTATAATTTATGAATAAAGGGACTTTTTTGGTGTTTAGTAATTTTTATCGTGTCGAGAGAAAGAAAGATAAGTGATAGATAAAGCCGTTCAACCGGAAACTATGCTCTTCATGAGCGTAATCTTTACGAAACTTCTGGTACCATACGATTCATGAAACTCTATTTGAAGATATTCAGTTTGGAATGTTAAAGGCACCAACCTGGACAAGGCCCAGTATGTTTGATAAGAATAGACACGCCTTTGCATTGCCTAGAGATAGCCTCACACTGACTGGAGTATGTAATTCCGTCACTTCCACACACTGGCATGTTTCCACCGCCATTCATCATGCATTCGGCTATCCTCTTCCTACACTCCTCCTATAACGAAAAAAAAGCATACATGTTAGACGGCATTCGCCGATCAATTTCGTGTACCAACGAACCATTCCGTGAATTCTTTTGAATGGTTTCTACTGTCAATATGAGAGAGCTTTTCAAATATCAAGTAAACGCCAATTAACAGTAACATATCAATATTATAATATATAATTACATATGAATATGTATAATTATACTTAAGGTGTCATACATGAAATTTGTTAATATATAAAAATATATAATTATATATGATAATATATAAATATATGAGTTATATGTATAATTATATATAAACATGTATATTTTAATATATATTTATAATCATACATATAATTATATCTTCCTATATGGACATATTCTATACACAATTATATATAACATATATAAATATACGAAATATAATTATATATGAAAAATTTTTTTAACGGGATGTCTTATGTAATAGTTACATTGTTGAGTAGAAAATTACAACGTTGATATTACGTTACTGATGATTGGCATTTATCGGGGTGTATCCATCTCTGAGACTTCTCAATCTTGCAATCTTCTTTAGATTTCCGCGTTTTTCCATAGCTAATTTTATATGAGGCGAGAATAAGCGCGATTCAAGCCTCATTGAAACGTACGGACGCCTGCCGGAGCTCTCGGGGCTGTCCGAAGCCGCGTACAGGAAACGAACGGTGGTACAGCGGGGTTAAACAACGTCTACTGTTCCGACGCCTATATATAACCGCGCGGGCATTACGCGCGCGGTATCACGAAAAATCTTCGGCAGCAATAACGAGGCGCGCGCCAACAAATCGCGCTCTCTGTTCTCTTCCCGTCGGCGACGTTCGCGCGACGTCCGATCGTGTCCGAGGTGGCGCCAACCCAGCTGCATTAGGCATGCATTATCAATCATTGGCATTCAGCGTGTCGGTGTAACGCGCCGGGTTGCAATGCATCGCGTGGCAGTGCGCCATGCAGCACCGGTGCATCGCCGCGTGACGCATTCCGGGCGCCGCGGATGCGTCGTGCCGCAACAATCATTCTGCTTCTCTTCCTGATTTATTGAAGTGCCGCCTTCTCCTCCTCTTTCGTCTCCCTTCTTCCCTCCTCCCCGACTGATCCACGTTGTGGCATTGAAATTAGATAGCGCACAACCGGAAGGGCGACGACGATTCCTCGCGCTCGAAAAATAAGTCGCGAACGCACGTTGGAATTTTCNGAATTTTCCGTCGGGTTCGCGAGGTCCCCCCCCCCCGGCTTGATTAGTTCGAAAATCAAATTAAATCCCGAGCGTGCAACGCGGAATATTACATTCTCGCTTCTCTTCGATTAATCTTCGCGCGACAAATCGCTCTCTTTCCAATGGCGTATCATCGCTTCCTCTCTCGTCCTCTTTGTCCCTCTGCCGTGTCTCCTCGTCTCTCGTTTAATTGCAACTGTACGCGTTTGACGGAGATACCGGGAGGTGCGTAATATTCCGTAATCGTTCCCGGTGACAGCGTGCGCTTAAAAATATTTTTCACGACGAGATAAACCGCGACTGCCACGTGAACGGCAAGCACCGAGAAAGCACCGAAAGAATGTGTTTAAGAAACCTGTTTGGGGAGAGCCGATGTCTTACCGGGTCCTCGCTTCTTCGCCCTCCTGCTCGTCGTCTCACGCACCCGTCGTCTACTCCTCTCCCTACCCCCCTGCTCTCCCCCCTTCGAGAACTAACTCTTCGTGTTACTCTCGGCAACAGTCCGCGACGCACCATGTGCGCGCCGAGCACATGCGAAGAAATCCCCCCCCCCCCNAAACCCCCCCCCCCCCCTCCCGAAAGCTCCTTCCCTCGCTCACCTTTGTCGAGCCCGAGGAATATCGATCGAGTTAACTGACCAGATTGAAGAATAAGTTTCTCCCTTTTACTCCATCTCCTTAGATTATACTTCTAATTATAAAGCAAACAGAGAGGAAGAATCATAGTTGATCTCACATTAAAGTCCTCGTCACGTCGATGCAACGTGAAAGCCAACGTATTCATCCTTCTTATTTCTCACGCTCGTGAGAATTTCATTTATAAGCAGATGCGAGAGAAAAATTTATTTCTCAACGCACAGTTTATTAACTTTTCTTTATAAGTTGATCCGCTAATAAACTATCATCTCGTGCTTAGAATCGATCACGCTACTCCGCGGCCAATTGTCCGTTGCGTCAATTGTCAAGCCGCAAGTCAATTGCGGCCGTGTGGCGCCGGCCTCTGTTTTTTGCTCCAATTCCTGCCGTACCGTCATACATCTCGATCGTGACGCTCGCGCGAAACCCGCAATTAGCGCCGGACTATCATGGAAATTATAGCACAATAATTGACGTCTTTGTGCTTGACGACAACATGCCGCTTACCGTGCACGCGAGTTAATAATTAACGGCCGCCCCTGATGAAATGATGCGAATAATAGATAAGCGGTAAAATACAGCAACAAACATAGTAATGAAACATAGAGATGGTGGAAAAAGTTGTTAAATCGAAAAGATGTAAATTAGGGAACAAAGTCAAATGGTATCTCGTAGAAAATTGTCAATAAGTATCTGTCATTTCTCAGTACTTTTAATCTAATACTAGTCATTCCCCGATTACATTTCTGTTGGAACCGTGAGACATTTATACGGCAGGAATCATGCGTTATTAATGAGATGTATGCGTCAAATCTGGAAGGTCGGCATGTGAACAAAAAAATGCGACTAAGATAAAGATGAAAAAAGAATGATGGGCAGAACCGCAAAATGGCATGGCGCGATTATTTACCGGCGATGAATCGTTCCGGCACGCAATCGAAATAATAAAAAAAGAAAACGATTCGATAAAGCAGAGTGTTCCTCTGCAAATTTTTTTTTGTCTGTATCCGCATAGAAAAAGAAATTGAAAGCGGAGAAAGGTTGACATACCGACATGAGATATTTTACTCGTTATGTTAGAACGTTACGGTCCTTTCTGATTCTCTTCAGCTGATAAAAAACATAATAAATATGAAGATTGATATTAATAATAATAGATAATATAAAATACAAAATCAAATATAAAATCAGGAAATAACAAGAAAAAGGTCAAAAAGATCAGTTCACCGCTGAAATTTATTTTATTTTTGTTTTCGGTCAAGTAAAGAGATTTCTCCAAAGCCAGGATTTCGAAATGTTCGGAATAATTAAATTATCATAAAATATATGTATTGTCATTAAATATTAAATATTACATCATTAAATATTTGTTGTTCTTTTATACAAAAGAATTTCGCACACGAATTTCGCAATAGCTACCTGGTTGTAACTAGCTTTCGTATTGTCGCAAGTTTTTTGAAACTCTTGACACACGGCCGTTAAAAATAAAAATACGGCGCTATAAATGTCACAAATATGTACCCACATTAAAATACACAGTGTATCCTCATTTTATTTCCGCGCGAGTTTCACGGTGCGCCTCGTTTATAGCGTCGCAAATTGAATCCACCGAAACTGCACCGGTTTCAATGGCCGGCTTTTAGCAGAGACGTCGAGTGTACGGAGTGTACGATAACAATAGTTTTAACGCACAGCCGCTCGGCTCGTCATACGTCAAAGCCGCCTAATTGTAGTCTCGTTAATTGGTATACGACTGTTGCGGCACAATGTGGTGAAATGAGATGTCTCTCTCTCTCTCTCTCGCTCGTGTTGATGGGAATCCAGACGGGAAGGGAATAAGTTCGATGGTTACTCGGCCGCCTTTATCGTAATTAATTCGATAAGGAAGAAACGAATGACCGCGATATAAATAAAAAGGATTTTCTCTTAACGGCTGTGCAACGGGAGTCACGCGTATATACGATTCCGACCGACGACTACACGCCGTCGCTATCGCGCCGCGGAAATTGATTGGACCGCACGATTTCTTATTCGCATGTAATCTCGCGCATACGCGTTCCCTCAGCACCGAGAACGATGCCTCATCTTGCGGTTACGTCGCGGAAAAGTACTTCTATCTTATTATTTTATTCATAAAATATATATATAACATGTCTTTGTCCGCCTAGAAACGCATTATTATTAAGCATTTAATTGAGTATTCACAATCGACTTTTTTAATTTATTTATATGTATTTTTATATTATTATTTTGTTCTCTTTTTCCCGTTCTTCTTTCTAATTTTTCTTGCTATCTTTAACAACATTCAAATATATTGATATTATATTCACGATTAATTCGCGTACAAAAGGGAAAAATAATTTTTCTTAAACAATCAAATAAATAAATAGATACATATATTTATTACCGCTCGAATTATTTTATATAATCGAATTAATTATCGTTATAAAATATGTGACTCCTTGTAAATTGTACATTAAGTTTTGCCTATAGATTCAACAGAATATTATCTTCCCCCTCTTATCTCTCTCTCTCTCTCTCTCTCTCCCCCCTCTCTCTCTTTGTAATTTTTTAACTCGTTAACTGCAGTCAGGAACTACAAATATCGCTTTTTAACTTTCGATGTCTTGGCCTCATAAAAAATTATTATAACTAACGATGTATCAAAATAATTTAATTTAACGAGATTGTGCTCTAGAGAGAGAGAGAGAGAGAGAGAGAGAGGAAGCTCGGCCGTTAATTCATTTCGGAATCTCTCGTTACTCACGGTACTATCTTAGTAATAGTAACTAAGTTACGGATACGATACGACAAAGCCGCGAGCAATCATTGGCGCGGCGATAAGCTGTGTTTATAATTAACTAGAAAAAATCGTAACGTTCGCCGGAACTTTAATCGCGACGTTAAACATACCGCGATTTACCTTTCTTCTTTACTTACCGCAAACAAAAGGCTACTTGTATCGCAGCCCGGGTGTGGTATAAAGAGAAACATTTGCATTGAGCGTAAAACTGTAATCGTTCTCGTGCGCCAACAACGAGAAGAAGCCGAGGATGGGATAGTATTAAGGTTGGCGAGAGATATCTCAGATTTCCTGAAATCGCTTCCCCTCGATTTTAGTTGAATATGCCAGTGTCCCGAATAATATTTCCAACGGCGCCGAGAGCGACGCTCTTTCTTCTGTGGTTTTTAATCTGCTATTCCCAGCATCCTCTCTCCTCATCGTCTCTAATGTGCAAATGTCTAGTCTTAAAGTGAGTCAGTGTACTATGTGAGTCAGTGAGTCAGTAATGACTCTTGTGGCAGTTGAGAGTCTACGTGCAAATTAACGTTGGAAATTACTACATTTATAAGATTATTGCGATGAAACGTGTTTGATTTTTTTTTAAATAGCATGGAGGAATGTTGATGTGAAATACACCTTCGATGCACAATATAGCGCGATGCATGTATTTCAGTCATGTTACATGACATAAATATAAATAATGTGAATGTCTTAAAAATATATAACAAACGAAATTTGTTATACTATACCAATTTCATTCATTGAATGAGAATGCCACGTGTGTGTAACTCCAAGTTATACCATCTTATCTTTATTTCTATTTGTATTTGCCAAAGAATGTAGTTAACAATTTTTTCCACCTTCACCACAAATAACATCCAAATCTCAAATAGTCGGATGGAAAGCCACATAAATCGTAATAATCTCGTATGAACGTGAGTGCACACACACTTTTAACCCTCGAACGGAGCGAATAAATCTTATATACATAAAATAACACAGGTATTTCGTCGTGCATCCGAAAATTAAACCGCAAGACAGTCTCAAAATGGTTCATAAATTATTATTGATCCACTATTTGCCCATGATTGCAACAAGTTTTTAATTTAAATTTATTTAAATAAAATTCTTTTTATTTTGTTTTTAATAGGTATAACAATTAAGGAATTGTAAATCTATAACGATGAACTTAAACACTAACATTTTGCGAACATAAAATATTTAAAAAATTAAAAAATTGAAGGAATCGAAGATTCAATAATCAAAGTCGTGTGCAAATTTATCAAAAGAAAAAATTAAAAAATAAATATATTTAATTTAAAAAACATGTATATATATAATAATCTAAACATATATGATAATCTATATACATGAATGCAAATACCTGAAATGCCAATAACGTGACTAATCGCAGAGAGGAAAGCACCTAAAGATAAAAGGATTAAATCTGCGATCTGACAACTTGAAGAATGTATTAAGTGCCACCTTATGATTAACAATCGAAAACGATAAGAGCTTAAAGACAGGGACAGAAATCCAAGTATTTAAGGTCCTAATAAAATATAATATAATAAAATTCTGAACAAGAAAGGAAAACTAAATAAACACCAAATTTCGCGATGTTTGTACGAGAGAGTGGGTTTATAAAAATATACAAATATAGAATAAATATGAAATTTTTAATAATAAACCCGCACGAACGCCGGCATTTAGCTTTTATTTATCCTCCCTTTCTTGTTGTGAATCTACAGGATCCGAATATTAGGCGAAATCCTAAGGACAAAATTCCGATCATGCACAATTTATGTTCCATAGTTTCAGTCGTTTGAAATTCAAACGACCTAATCTGGACCTAATTTAAAGACCCGAACTTACGGAATCCCCGAAGCGCAGCGTGAAGTCAAATGTTCAAGGAGCTATTCGTCTTAAACGATTAATTAAAAAAAAAAAAAAAAACAACAACTCGCTAATTACCTTAGCCGTTGTGACGGTGTTGGCCACGGCGTGGAGATCGGCGACGACGAGCGACAGGAATACGACAACGCGTATCGTCGACAACATCGTATCGTCTCGCGTTCTCGTCGGCACCTCGCGTTTTCGGACAATGACAGAAAGTCGCCGGAGGGGGGGAGGAGGAAGAAACGAAGAAAAGAACTCACACACGCACGACACGCACACGCTATGTGTGCTCACATGCACCCACTCGGTCCGGCTTGCGTTGCGTTCCCGACACAGCGCCGCATGTTTCCCCGTTCAATTCATTTGACAGGCTGGGTCCCGGCGGGACCGCTCGACGATCGCGACTACCTGCGCGACACGGACGGTTTTGCGGGCGATCGAGAATGCGCGTCACCGATCGAAGAACCAAAGGAGAGACCGCGAGAGGGAGAGAGAGAGAGAGAGCTTAGAGTCTGTCCGCGAGATCCCTCTCGAGAGAGCAGCGCAACACCACCGTACGTCCGGCAATCGCGACCAACCGTGGCGAATGCTGCGGAGCAACTGGCACTTGCCACTTGCTTGGCCGCTGGAGCAGCCTCTGGCCCGATATTCGCCGGGGCACTCCGCCGCTGTACTCCTCTTCCGACGAACGTGCCCCGCGATCCCTACATCGGGAGTAGGGATGCTGGCGATGCTCCATGATATAAGTACTCCCCGAGGTACGAAGACCTCTTCGTCGTCGTCGTCAACATGCCGGCGTCTCGCGCAACGACGATGCTTTACCTTCGATAATTAATCGAGCAAGGGCGCGAATTCCGATTCACTTGGGCACCGCCGCGCGCTCGGCCGTCGTCGTTCACTCCAGCACACCTGTTCACTCAGGTATGCGGCGGTTTTCACCTCTCTCTCTCTCTCTCTCTCTCGTTCTTTCGTTCTTTCGCCGCCTCCGCTTCCCTTCGTCCCCTTACCCCGCGGAGATGGTTTACCGTTGCTTCGCTGGTTCTGGACCGAACGATCGGATCCAGTCACTCCGAGGAAACTTTGCACTTTCACCTTGCACCCGCCGTGCTGTGATCGACTCGCGCATTTCGTCGCGCTCGATCGCGTTAATTAAACGGCTCATTAGAAAAACCGACTCCGTCGGGACGCGTCTTTCCATGGAAAATACGAGTCGCTCGCACGAACACAAGGTTCGACGGCGCGTAAATGTGTGACGCTGTGTGAACTTTTTTTTCTCTTGTAGCCACCACGTTCGCACTAAGTGGAGGCTATTCTTCTAGGATCAGCGGAGTCGCTTTACCCTGGCTCGAGTGTTTTCGCCTCATTCTTCTCTATTTTTCTCGGCTCTGCTAAATGTAGAAACAGTGCAACTAATTTTATACCGTCATTAGCCGCGATTTGCATGAAGAATGCCAAGAGGGTGCCGAGAGGACGCAAAGAAACAAGGAGAGCGCAAAAGATGTGAGCTCTAGTAGTCTGCTGAAAAGAAGCTCTCTCTCTTTCTCTCTCTCTCTCTTTCGCGTCAAGTAGAAAAATACTAGAAATAGAATCGAGCGATGGAAGCGATGCATCATCATCTACGTACGCATCGTGTTCGAGGTTGATGGCAAACATATCCGTTTACACATTCGCGCGTGTTCGAGAGCGTTTGTGCTGCCGACCGTGTGCGGCTCGCCTCCTCTCTAACACTCCAAGCGGGATTTACACGGATCGAGTTTTCCTCAACCGCAGACGGATTTTCGCACCAAGCTCGAACCCAGGAACCGCTGATTTACACGCCGCTTTGCACGCTCGAGCGAATAGCCAAACAGAGCCGTTCGTACGAATTTGCGCAAACACGTCCAAGTGTGTAAGCGGCACTTTAAACTTGATTCGTGCCAATTAGGAGGACGACGAATCGCTGTACACGAGTGTGTATCGCATATGACGAATTGTTCGTGCACGAAATGTCTGTCTCGTTAAGCCGCTGGACACACTCTCGCGGGTTATTTAGCAGCCCGGGTGCCGCGGCCCGCCGAGCAGCGACGAGATAGCATCTTTGGGAATACCGTAAATATTTCTTACCATCGAAGTCACGTGGTAACGCTTTTGCAGCGGTTAACAGAACGCTTGATGATTCCTCAGAAATTCTCTTCCCTTTCTTATTGCAGTAACTATGATACGAAGGATGAGAAAGAGTTAAAGCGTTGTTAGAAATAAAAAAAAATAATAATTACAGATAAAAAAGATGAAAATTGCAAAATTTAAATAGCCGGAAAATAGATGTGAAAGATTGAAAATGAAAATAAGCCAGAATAACAAAGACAGTTATTTCTTACGGATAGATTTATTAACTGAATTTATTAACTGAATCATCGTATCACGGACTCTCCTCCGAATCGCACAGTATTTGTTGAAGAACGCGCATTCCGTCTTCGAATTTTAGATACTTATACGACGATTGTTTCGACGGTGATCCGGCCGTGGACCCTTCCAACAGTATCGCCTTTCCGTCTTCCGCTTCTGACAAATTCCAGACGTTGCGAAAGTAAATTGTTTGAAGGAAATTGTCGATCAGAGTCGAACTGCTCCACGCACACACGTGCACCTGTATGATCGTTTTTACATTTTATGAGTTCAAAAGGCTATTTAGCGCGCAATACCGCGACGCACAGTGGTGCTGTACATGAAGGTGCGAAAAAAAATCTTCATAACTGCGGAATTTCTTTATATGCCTTATGACTTCATTTTTTTACGTTTCTATTTGAAATTTTAAGCTCATATGGAAAGTACTATTAGAACACCTAACGTAGATGTGAAATAAGAATAACACTAATTTTATTAATCTATGCTCATAACTGTCACAAATTGTGCGCGCGTTACAAAAGAATGTATATTATATAATTATTTAGTAACATTATATATATATTAAATAATATTTTATATTAATATTTTATACTATATAAAAGTACTAATTACAGTTAAATTGCAAAAAGTGGCACGTAATTTTTACAGAACAGTTCAGTAATAGTATCTGCTGTCAAAAAATGCAATCAAGAGCTTGAAAGGAAGTAGAGCATTTTTTATAGACAATGAAATAAAAAAAAATTTTCAACTTTAGATATCATTGTTGTAAGTACTATAATAAAATCAAACGAATAAAATATATATGATAAAATCTATTTATTTTTAAGATATAAGATACTATTTTAGTAGTATACGCCTTTGGCGTTACCCTGGCTCAACATTGGCCAATATTGTATATTATATAATACAAATATACAATATTTATATAAGATATTAATATAAAATTACTTAAAATATATTACTTAATATATGTAATATTATTGAATAATTATTGTTCACTGGGCATCCCGAAATAAGAAATCGGCACATATAAACAATATTTCCAAGATTTTGGGTTTTTCTCCACCTTCGCACTACTGTGCGTACGTTCGAAGGAAGCTGTTCCTCTCGAGCACCGAGATAGCGCTCGCGCTCCTCGATACTACGAACGCGAAGTCTCGGTTTGCGCAAGCGATAAACAACAATTTCTATCGAACTTAAGAGATACGTATCGTACATCCGACGGCGGGTTTCCCCCGCTTGAAAAAACAAACTCTACGCTTTTTATTGCGCATATGTGGTGCTTCACTTACGTTTATTTTCAGAGCCCGCGCGCATGACTTCATCGAGTGGTGTATCAGGGCGCAGGTTCTGGCAATGTGCGCGCACGCATCATTTCCGGCAGCGTCGTCATTAAGGTAATTGTCCAAATCATCTATCAGAAGTACGGACGGCACGGCCGCGTAAGTGTGCAACTTGACGAGTTGCTCCGCGAGACTCTCGTAATCCGGCAGGTAGCTGAGAGAGTAGATTATTAAGCCATAGAACGTAAAATGCACCGGTGCACGCGTGCGTATCTCAAATTAACAACGTCCGCGAGTCTCGACTGCGACTTGTTCAAATCAGTCGAGCGGGATGATGATCTCGTTAGAACGAATCCGACGGTAAAGGACGGTGGAGAAATCGACTCGTGCCGCTTCACTCGATCGTATGTCCGAACGTCTATTTTCGCACGGCGAAATATTTTTCAGCGGTACCATTCGTATTATTTTTGGATGATATCCACGGCGATTTCCGCATTCCGTCGCTGCCTTGCAAACTTATTTCTTTCGAGGAAGCATCGCTTTGCACGAGACGCTGGTATGCACAGTACGCGCGCGCGCGCGCGATTCCTGTTACTATAATAAATTGATAAATGAAAAATACATTCATCTTCGGCGCGCCTGACTGAGTAATTTCTCTCGACATGATCTATGCCTGTCCTCTGGCACAAAAAATACACGAGCTCGTAAAGCGGCGCGCATATGCTTACACGGGCGTGGAATATTAAGCGCCGGCTCGTGTGTGACAAGTGAAGCAATTGTAACTCCTTCGCGTAGCTTCCGCGGAATAACATTATTAATAACGCGTAACTAACGCACATGCAAACGTCCGCGATAAATTCAAACGAGGATGCAGCGACTTCGATCGAATACGAAGATGTTCCCGAGCGGAGGCGGTAAAGGAGAAAGAGAGAGAGAAGGAGAGAACAAATCGATTTGTCAAGTCGCCCAGCGGCGTGGTGGAACGCGGTATGTGGCCTTCCGCATCAGTTTCGAACGTTACGCATTTTTGAGACACACACACGCGCTCGCTCGCACGATCGGAAAGTCCGATGCGTAAATCCCGCGTCGGCGGCGGCCGTAAACTCGCGCCGACTCTCGCCGAGATCGATTCTTTATGCAGCGCGGCGAGCAGTTGCACACGTGCAACGGAGTGCAGGCGCGCGCGGTAGCGATAGGAAGAAAAATGTTCCGCTTACATAAATCTCATCAGCTTGAGAGCCGCGACTGCTGGATTGCCTCTGTCGTGACAGGCCGCCGGCTGTCTTTCCAATGGCGCTGGCGTAATATAAACGACACGTCGTCCTTCCTCGGCCCAATATATCGCGGCCTGCGCAGCCAGGAAAAGCTGTGTTTCAGGAAACACGCCGCGCTGACCGACAGGTATTTTACGCAGCGAGTGAGCAGAGAGAGAGAGAGAGACGGAAGCGTAACGAGCCGATTAACGATGTCGACACGCGTTGACAGTTTGATAGCTCTTGTATTAACCCAGCGGCGACGGGAACGTGTAGAGAGAAGAAAGAGAGAAGAGAAGAAAAAAGAAAAAAAAAATGAGTCGCACCAGTTGGCGACGATGAGTCTATCGCGGGGATTTGGTGATTATAATTGGTAATAAACGAGAACCGCGCCGAAGATCCGTCCGTGCTGAGAGTGTTCGTTATTAATGTTTTAAATAGACCGTAAATAAGATGAACTCTTCAAACGATCGATCTTAAAGAAAGCAAACTAACCGTGCTGCTCTACGCAGAAATGCGAGGTTTACGTTGAAACGCGCGGGCAAATTTTGTACGAACGTTTTGCGGGGATTAGACGCACGTTGATTTACTGATTTCTACAGTTTGTTGGGATCTGTCAAGTACGTGTGTATCAGTCTTTACGGCGAATTTATGCCGTTCCCGTTTCGCATTTTGCGTACATACCTCGAACATAAAGGACTTGCTCAGTTCTTTCGAGCCGCACAATAACGTCGTCTTGATGTTCTTCGAGAACATTAGGTAATCTGAAATACACGCGAATTTTAGTGACAATTCGATATTGCGCGTGTCGCTTAATTCGCGATGAAATATTTGGAAATCGCGGGAATCACTCAAATCTAGAATCGGTGATTTAACTTGATTTCTATGAACGTTGTAATTCAAACAACCCTATAAGCGCGTAATATTATTTAATATTGTAATATTCTGGGCATATTCTTAGAATATTAGACGTAATGTTCTAATAATATTTAAAAAAATATATTATTTAATGGTATTATAATATTATATATTTTTTTAAATATTCAACTTTATATATATTTTTTTTTATTTATATATATTTTTCTATATTATTTTTTTTTTATATTCTAAGAATATTTTTATATTCTTCAAGAATATTATGTGAAGTGGACATATAACATCGATAGAATATTCCTATAATATTAAAAAAATATTACGTAATATTCTTGGAATATTACGCGAGATTTCAATAGAATAAGGATTGAATAATTTTTTATTGTGTCATATTAGATCCTACAAATTAAATTGAGGATTCTTGAATTTGAGTTTAGATACTTTAAAGAGATTCTTCAACTTCATGTATATATTAACTGAGAAATTGTTTTAAGAATTTAATGCGTGAAAATTTCTCCACATATTTAAACACAAGGATTTCAGATGCATTTAACGATGAGACATGTGTTGCACAGTGTGCTACCGATCAAACTTCCATAAAAATACGAGACATACATTAGTCGTTCGCGTCACTGATGCGGCGCGACTTGAGTCGTCTATATACTTCCACACTCTTACACTATTTCAACTTCATCCCCACTTTACTGCACTTAAATGCGCAAATCGAGGACGTTCTCTCATGAAGTAGAATCATCGTGACACATCGGTATATCATGATGTTCGGTTGCAACAGAGAGAAAGTAAGAAAAATAAAAATAGACGTAACATACGAGAGTGAATCAAATATAAACCGGAATTATTATTTTTTTGTTTAATTGAAGCATCATAAAAAAACTAACATACATAACTATTTTTCTACATAATCCCCGGACTTCGAAACACATTTTTCCTAACAGGTAACCAGTTTTTTAATTCCGCTATCATAAAATGAAGGCGGCTGTGACAGCAGCCAATCGCTCACGAAGGATTCGACAGAAGCATCGTTATCAAATCTTTGTCCCCCAAGTGATTCTTTCAGTGGTTCAAACAAATGATAATCGCAGGGCGATAAGTCTGGACTGTAAGGAGGGTGTTCCAGTGTAGTCCAGACCAGTTCTTCAATTTTTTGACGAGTTAAGGCAGCTGTATGGGGCCGGACATTGTCGTGAAGCAGGATAACGTCTCGGTNAGCGGAATCAAATATAAACCGGAATTATTATTTTTTTGTTTAATTGAAGCATCATAAAAAAACTAACATACATAACTATTTTTCTACATAATCCCCGGACTTCGAAACACATTTTTCCTAACAGGTAACCAGTTTTTTAATTCCGCTATCATAAAATGAAGGCGGCTGTGACAGCAGCCAATCGCTCACGAAGGATTCGACAGAAGCATCGTTATCAAATCTTTGTCCCCCAAGTGATTCTTTCAGTGGTTCAAACAAATGATAATCGCAGGGCGATAAGTCTGGACTGTAAGGAGGGTGTTCCAGTGTAGTCCAGACCAGTTCTTCAATTTTTTGACGAGTTAAGGCAGCTGTATGGGGCCGGACATTGTCGTGAAGCAGGATAACGTCTCGGTTTGGAAATCCGCGTCTTTTCCGACGATATTCGCGTTTTGCTTCGTCCAAAAGTTGGCAGTAGTATGCAGCGTTCACAGTACAACGTTCGTGAAGAAAATCGACGTGCAAAATACCTTTAAAGTCAAAAAATACAGTTGCAAAAACTTTTCCAGCTGAGAGCCGAGTTTTGGCTTTGACGAGTGCTGATTCACTTTTCTTTCGCCGTTCCATACTGGCTTCTTTGGATTCCGGGGTGTAGTGGTGCACCCAAATTTCGTCGCAAGTCACAATTCGGTGCAAAAAAGCTTCCCCTTCGGTCTGATAGCGTGTCAATAGCCGTTCGCACACCTCCAAACGGTGCCGTTTCTGATTTTCGGTGAGAAGACGAGGGACCCATCTGGCGGATACTTTTCGAAACCCAAGGTCGTCAGTAATGATTGCCTGAGCACTGCCGAAGCTTATCCCGACCTCAGAAGCAATTTCAGCGACCGTTAATCGACGGTCACCCTCGATAAAGCTGCCAACCAGGCGAATATTCTCTTCTGTCACGCTGGTCGACGTCGGTGCCCCTCATTTTCAACAGTTTCTCGTCCTTCTAAAAATTGTTTGTGCCACTCGTACACTTAAGTCTTCTTAAGCGTATTGTCCCCGAACTGTGCTTTAAGCCTTCTCAATATGTCCGACGGTTTTACGCTTTCTGCAGTGAGAAATTTAATAATAATTCATTGTGCAACGGACGAGGGCACCTCCCGCTCTGACATTGTGATACTGATTAACGGAGCGCTAATGAGAGGTCGCGTAGGGGGGGATCTCCTTCAGGTATCCCCACCTATAACGCTCAGAAGCCTGGTCGTTCGCCTCACTGCGGGTATAAAAATAATTCCGGTTTATATTTGATTCACCCTCGTACTTCCACACTCTTACACTATTTCAACTTCATCTCCACTTTACTGCACTTAAATGCACAAATCGAGGACGTTCTCTCATGAGGTAGAATCATCGTGACACATCGGTATATCATGATGTTCGGTTGCAACAGAGAGAAAGTAAGAAAAATAAGAATAGACGTAACATAAGTACATTTCAAAGGACGATTTAAATGTACTACCATTTAAACTACCACTTAAAACAGGCCAGCGTTCATTCAAAACAAAACATGATATCGAGATTTTTTTTACGAAATACATCCACAATTTTATTATCAATTTTATAAAATCACTTATCATTTTGTGTTTTCTATTTATAGTTTTACACAAATATCACATATATAACCACTGAAATATGCATATAAATATATATATACTGGAACACGCCATGCTACAGCATAAGCGGAAAACGAGACATAAACTGCATTGAAGGACTACCTGCCTCTTTCTAATTTTTTACGCATAATAATTGAAACTACACACCGGATACAGATATGGTCTATATCCTTGCCTCGCATTTCGACCGTCAGTGTACATACGTCTAGTAGATATATATATATTTCAGTGAATATAACACATACATGTATATACGTCTAGTAGATATATATATATATTTCAGTGAATATAACACATATATAGTAATCTTAATAGGTTAGGAAAACAACGGTTAAATACATATATCATTTGACAGAATAAAAGAAGTATAAATTCGTGGATTTTACTCACGATTAAAAACTGTCACTTATAACACTTTCGTCGATTTTATATCGAGCCTTATTCTTGAAAACCGATACTACCCAGGTAACTCGAAGTTCTGAATACACTAACATCCCGCCAAAAAAGACATCATTTTAGTGTAATATCACAAGCTGATATTACGTTGTATGTCGAATTTGTCAGATGTGTCGATTGGCTGTCGAATAGAGAATTTCTAGAGTGTCTAGATAAAGTGTTAGGGTCCCGAGAAAATCTCTATGCAACAGCCAATCAAAAATATCTGACAAACTCGTCATACGACGTAAGTAATATGGAGAATTCAGGCCTGGCTCGATTTTTTAATCGGAACTAAATTCGTAACTATTCGTATATGTAATTTGTGAGTGATATGAATCCAATGAGCGTACAGATATTCCGTAAAAGCAATACGCTTTTTAGATATCACTCACAATTTACGTATACGAATATTTACGAATGATTTAAAAATCGAGCCTCTGAACCTTTGAACTATATAACAAACTGGAGTGAACACTGCCTTTGTTTCCGCCAGGTGACTTCGTGCTAAGAGAAAAAAGAGAGAAAGAGAAAGAAAGAGAGATAGAGAGAACGAGAGAACGAGAGAAAATATTTAAGCAGTATCTTCGCTTTGTCCGTTTTGACTTTGTCTAGCTTTATGTAAGCTATAAGCTACGACTATGTAAACATAGACTATGTAGCATGTTAGTAAGACATATATGATCATATATGTAATCACATACATGAGTAAAATTCATATATGATTTTATATAATTATATATAATCATATATAATCATTTTTTTCCCGGGTATTTATATCTTATATTTCATTCTTTTCCATTGTGCATTATATCTAATTACACTATTTTTAATTTTTATTCTTAATATTTAATAATATTTATTTTTAATATATTTCTATTGTGTGCGCAGAGCCTAATATGCATATATAAATATTAATTAGGTGGGATGCAGCTTGTAAACAAACGATGAATTTATAGGTTTAAGTATAGGTAAGTATATACCAGGATAATATGCATATATATATTTTTTTTTCTTTTTATTTTGCAAAAATATATATTTCTATAATAGGGCACAGTAACGGCATTTCATTTTATTCGTTCTACATACTACCTTAACGTCGAAATCATCACGCGTCCAGCCTATCCAATTTATCATCACTGGCTCATAGAAACAAATAACGCAGACTGTAAACACTGTAAACTTAAAATTTATGCTATATGCAATAAAGGATTATATAATCAAAAATATGTAATAACTCCTATAGGCATGACGCGCACATTCTGTACGTGTGCGTTCTGTGCGTGTATGTTCTGTGCATGTGTGTGTTTAATAGATTAATTTTTCAATTTAATATAAGGTTTTCAGGTGAATAAATAGTTACATACAAATGTAACTATTGGATTAAATGGGAACAATCGAGTCATCAGGACGGATTAGCTAAAGTATGTATCCTGTAATTATATTACAACATATATTATAAACAACATTGCACAGATTCTTAACACGTTCATTGCCAAGCTGAAAATTGGAATTTCGTGTGGTGGCCAAATTTTTTTTATTTTTTTATTTAGTTTTTATTGTGCTCAAAATAAGTTAACATATTATTTATATGCTTTTATTATTATGTACGTAGGATTTATGTACTCTAAATATCTATTACGCGATAACGTGTGATCGGCCGTTTGGTGAGAACTCGCATCACGTGATACCGCGTGATTGGCAATGAACGTTAATGTTAATGTCGTTAAGCTTCACAATATCACAATATTTGTATAATTGTAATGGTAATATACGTTATAGGAAACATTACATTAACGCAAAATTCTTTATATTTCCGAAAGGAACAGTGTAAAACTTTAAATACCCGCATCATTATAAATTCAAATATTAAGTTAGAAATATTGAAAATACACACATTGCTCGTCGTAAATACATAAGAGCTGATAGCAGTACTTCGTCTGCTCCATTGCAGACTCAATATTCGCATATACGTCCAGCCTATCCAACTTTCCATCACGTTCATGGCAATATGACTGATTCAATAAAGTGAGGGAACTATCAATCAGTAATCGCGACATAGTTATTGCTTCTCTCTTTATAAAATATAAAATTTTAGTTTGAGCTGCTCATAAAAATGCTTCTTAAATTCGCCTTATACGTTTTCGTGCTAAAAATATTTTGTTTACTTTCAGCATATAACGAGAAATGAAATTGGAACGACGATCTTAAAGCACGAGAACGTTCAAGAAGAATTTAAGCCAGCGGCTTGTTTTTGTGCTGGATTATTTGCCGGATAGAAATACTGTGTTCTGATTGGTGTATTTCCGTTCATTTTCGGAAATGCATCAATCAGAACGCAACACTTCCATCCAGCAAGCAAACAATCCAGCACGGAAACAAGCAACAAACATCGTGAGTCGCTGGCTTCAGTCTTTGTTTTGAAATATACAGTTCGCTCTTGGCTCCTGCAAACTCTTCAAGTTAAAAAAAAAACAGAAAGCTGTGAAAACGAACTTTTGTGAAAAATAGTCAGGTAAAAAACTGAAGGAATCTTCTAAAAAAAGTAATAACACTATGTAACATCGCCACATGTCTTGTTGTTTTTAAATAAAACGTTGCTCTTCGTTTCTTGTGTAGCAGTTGAGACATTATTGGGGCATCGTTAACTTAGGCTGTTATTCGACTTATCTTCTTGTTTACTGAACTAGACATTTAAGAAATAATAAAATGGACTCGTTAATGTATAAGAAAGAAAATGAAACATACGTCCAGCAGTTCAATTTTCCGTTTTGCGATGAGTTGTCGAAATACGAAAAAATTGTTAAAATTGGTCAAGGAACTTTTGGGTAAGTAAAACGTCTCTCGTGCGAGAGTTTTAGATTATGTTGATACATCATGTTGGAATATTACATAAAGATGTTTCTTTCTGTACTATTGTGTTATATAATTTAAATATTTCTGTCGAAAATAGTTATTTCACATGTATATATATTTTATCTGAATTATCGCGATGCTCTCGAGTTATATATATTGAGTGAATACGATAGCTAAGGTCCTGTTCACGCAAACGTTTTGAAGAGCCTTCTTTAAGCTTTCTAAAGTATTTACAATGTGAAATGAACCTAATCTACACTAAAATACTAGCCCAAATTTTTAAGTTTATATATAATCATATAAAATTACACATAATGATATATAACTATATATGATTTATATAAGAATTTTTTTCGTATATGACTGCATATATAGGGTGTCTGGTATGTTTCAACAACCGTTCGTGTGAAGGTTGAACGGGTTAAACTGAGCAGAAAAGTCCTCTGCCATTTTGCAAAAAACCAAGCAAAATTTCAAGTTATTGTTGAAAACGGTCATATATAGAGGTTTCTTTAATTAATAAATGAAAAATTTGCATGTTATTTGCAAAACAATACAAGATTTTTTTATTCAAAGTAGCCTAATCTACAAGTATATAACAACTGTTTTACCTGACGATAAATTCAAGATTCGAGATTTAAGATTCAGTATACTGATGTCTGTTGTTAGGTACAACGTTTATTATATACTAGTAAATTAAGCCACTCTGAATAAGAAAATCCTGCACCATTTTGCAAATAACACGCAAATTTTTCAGTTATTAATTAAAAAAGTTTCTATATATGGTTATTTTTAATCATTAATAACGAAATTTTGCGTTGTCCTTTGTAAAATGATAGAAGGCTTTTCTGTTTATTTGAACTTGTTTTACTTGCACACAGCTACTCGGTCAAGATTTTCCGATCAACCGTTTTACTGTAAATGACAGTTAGCAACCTTTTAATTAGTGTCGTCGTGTAAAATACACAGGCGACCTCGTGCATGCACTTGGCGTGAGACATTACCGTGTTTCTTAATACGGAAATCGGGATGTGTTCAGCGAAGGTGCAATTTACCGCGTTTATTCGAAGAATTATCCGATGCATGTGTCATTACACGCTGAACAATATGTTCTTCTACAATAATTTAATAACGTTGCTAAAATAACTGCGATATATATATATATATATATATATATGTAGTTGGACGCTTTTTCATAGTTAGTGGAATACGATCCGATTTAAATCAATCAATATGTGCCTAATTATTTCGCAGAGAAGTGTTTAAAGCGAAGGACAAGGATAATAAAAAGTTTGCAATAAAGAGAATACAGATGGAATGTGAATCACAAGGAGTAAGTTTTGTATCACATGATTCATATAAAAATGCTTTACTTGGTGCTTCCTTACTATACATTATATTATGAAATATTGTTGTAGTTTCCTCTAACAGCGTTACGAGAGATAAAGTTATTACAAGTGTTGAGCCACAAAAATATCGTAAAACTTATAGAGATTTGTAGGACAACAGGTAAATACTATAGATTATATTATTTTATCTTGTATCATAATTATACGTAGTCATGGCTGCGCAATAATATTAGACGTAATTAATAATATAATTATATAATCTCAAATCTTTAGATTTGTAACTTTTATACATATAATTACACATAACCGAATTTATTTTGTTCTCAGCTACCGAGGAAAATAAATATTGCGCATCATTCTATCTGATATTTGAATTCTGTGACCACGATCTGTCTGGCTTGTTGTCAAATGTAAAGGTAAAATTTAGTCTGGGAGAGATCAAAACAGTTATGCAACAAATACTCAACGGTATTTACTATATTCATTGTAATAAAGTAAGTTGTACGATATTTTATATTCCAGAATAATACGGCGACGACGATGTTATATAATAATAAATAAATTATATAATAATGACAAATATGATAGTAATAATATAAATAACATAAAATTATTACATAATTTGCAGATTGTGCATAGAGATGTGAAGGCTTCTAATATTTTAGTAACCAAAAAAGGCGTAGTAAAGATAGCTGACTTTGGCTTGGCACGAGCGCTCAGTGTAAAAGTATCTGCTTATACGAATAAAGTTGTCACTCTATGGTATCGACCGCCAGAACTGCTGCTCGGTGAAAAAAATTATGGACCGTCTGTAGATTTATGGAGTGTGGGTTGCGTCATGGCCGAAATGTGGACCAGGCACGTAATATTAGTATAACACATTAGTAAACATATTAGTATAATAAAGTAGACATTGCAAATTTTTCATAATATTTTTAATTAGTTTGTTAGTTATTAGATTTAAAATTCATAGGTCACCGATAATGCAAGGAAATAGCGAGCAAAATCAGCTTGTATTAATTTCGAATTTGTGCGGCTCGATAACATCCGAAGTATGGCCTGATGTAGAAAAGCTCGATTTGTTCAAGACTTTGGTGGACCTCCCCAAGGAACAGACAAGAAAGGTAATAAACCAGCGAAACGTAACATACTATCTTGCACTTCGCGAAATTGTTCGTACAATAGAGCATTTACAAGTCGCATTTTTGCTTCACATGATGTTTCTCAAAGTTCAAATTTCCTCTTCACGGATTTCTGTTTTGAATTTAATTTTTAATAATTTCATGTAGGTCAAAGATAAATTGATGCCGTACTTGAAGGATGAACACGCTTACGACTTGTTGGATAAACTCCTAACTCTCGATCCTAACAAGAGGATCGACGCGGATGAATCGTTACATCACGATTTCTTCTGGACTGATCCGATGCCGTGCGATCTTGCCAATATGTTAGAACAACATCATCAAAGTATGTTTGAATACTTTGCACGTCAAAAACAATCCAGCAATACACATCAACCTCAAATATCACCCTCTGACGAAACACCCGGCCCCTGTACCCCTACAACTGACAGAAAGTAAATTTCATGAACATATCTTCTAGCATATGTCATTCCAAAATGTTTAAACTATGTTGCATTTTCGTTATTCGTATGCGATAAAGGAAGACTCAATTTTAATCTCATATCAAGAATAAATTCTGTCCAATTTGTTCTCGTTAGATTAGGTTTAGAAAAAACATTTGGAAAGAAGAGAAATTTTATTATCTGACTCTTTTTTTTTATTGTTCTCTTCTTTCCGTACTTTTTTTTTTTTTTAATTGAAATGTTACGTTAAGTCAACTTTGGAAGTGATTTTAGAAAGATTTTAGCTGTTTACTAGCAAAGTTAATTTTTATATATAATACCTCTTAGAAGAATATTTATATAGTTTTTTTATACATAATACCTCTTAGAGTATTTATATAGTTAAAATCGCCGATTTAGAATAGCGGCCCGTTCGTCTCTGTAAAGTTGTCTGTCTCTTTCTTCTCTCAAAGTGACGTAAAACTTTCAAGATTTACTGTGCTGGATTAGCAGCCATCAAATATATGTCCGTCTTCACATTTTGTAATATCGCATTTATGCGTAGACACAGCGCAGCGTACCTTCGCGCATGACCATAGATCTCATATCGCAAAGAATCAGTTGCCAAATCGATTGCGACCTTAGAATTTCATTGCGCGAATTCAATAAATAGTAGCACTTTCTTTATTTCAATATATCAGTCTTAATTTGTTTTTCCTTATTTTCGCCGATCCATCCCGACGATCTCACATTAATTCTCCAACTCGATTAAACGATGAAAAAGCAACTTTTACGGTAATTTAACGCTCAATCACTTAAGCAGCACGGCGAAACCGTTTCCGTCGTATGTGTCGCGAACTATCCGGGACGTGATAATATATACAAGATATTTCATTTTAAGTGATATATAGTATTCTTGTATCTATTATATCCATATTAGATACAAGAATACAATACACTAAGCGTTTAGTGAGCGGTTATAGCTTTTGGATGCGCAAAATTAACGTTAGCTTTTGTGCCAAATGGATAATTACACTTGCCTTTACGTAACCATATTTCGATCGGAATTGATTTTCCGCTTGCTTGCGAGGTGAATTCGGAAACTTCTCGATCGATTCGGAAACAATCCGAGTGTTCATAATAGCAAAACCATCGTAAAACGGAATTATTCCAATCGGAATCGAATCCAAACAGTTTTATAACAGATGTAGATTGATTCTGTAATTTTTGACGACATGTCATTATTGTTACGGCGTTGTTGCAATTTTTCTGCCCTATGTTATACCTGCACAATGACGATAACAATACGGTTGTTAACAGTTAACAGTAGAATCAGGCATCTTGGCAGATATGGAACTGTTTATTATGGGACTGTTAAGAATGAATTCTGATCGAGAGCAATCAGTTATTCTCTAGATTTTCTCTCATATTTTATAAGAAATAATTCAACAATTCCAATCGTAATCAATTCCGAACGAGTCCGTAATACATACCTTAGTCTCTTGGGCTCTCCACCTCTCACTCACTATATTCAGCATACATAACACATGTATAAAATACATGACATACAAGTGCAAAAGCGCTAAGATTGATATTATCAAAATAATAGCGGAATCTATACAAATTATATTAGTTTTATCGAAGAATATTCTAATTATTAATTTCTAATCAAAACGGATATAAATAATGACTGAAAGAAATCATGAAAATCCATTAGTATAAAAGATTTATTTATATATTCTCGTATACATTTTACTGAAATTCATATCTTTATGAATATTCATCATATATCTAACAGCTATTTACGTCTGGTTAATTAGCAAGTGCATCTATGTATTTGTAGTTTTTTAAATATTTTTTATGCTTAGCATTTGTCGAAACACAGTAACTTTTTTTATATTGTTAACTTGCTTAAGAATAAATGTTTCGTTATATAGTTAAAATCTTCAGTTGTTTGGCATTATTAGCTCTCCATATTTCATGACACACACATTGATCTTAAACTTTTCACCAATTACTCATAAAAATATAATTAAATAATGATATATATCGGCTTGTAACGTCTTTCGCCGTTGTCCGATCCCCAAACGCATATATTTATGGTGCGTATATATTAAGGAGACCAGAAAGTAATGTCGTTTCTGCGCATGTCGATATTTGATTTGATTGATTTTTACCGCTCCGGCATTGAAAATTTGTATACTAGATGGCAAAAGGTTGTTGATAACGAAGGTGAATATATTGTTGATTAGAAATAAAAACTTGTTAAAAATGTAGTCGTGAGAATTTAACTTAAGAAAGCGACATTACTTTCCGGTCCCCCTAATAGATTATACAAAAGTATATGGGATCTACGGTTTAACGCTGATTCCGAACGGCAGTTTGAGTAGAGTTTTCCTGGCAAAGATATTCTCGATGGTTTGCCAGTTCATCGTTAAAGAGACACGAGCGCATAAAAATATTTTGGTTCTATCGGGAGGTGAACCCGGGACTTCTAATATAGCAGATCAGTGCGCTGTCCGCTATACCACGTTCGTACTCATTTTTAAAGGATTATATATATTTAAAAAATTAATAAAATGCAAAATTATATTACATCGTGATAGGACAAGTCAGCAAAATTTGCGTACGATAACGAAAATTTGTTATCAATAAATGTTTATTTACAAATATGTCTTTTGCTCAAAATTTATTTTTGTGTTTGGGAAGTTTGTTAGAAATAAATTTGTAGTCTCACAATTGCGCAATAGCTTTTAGCTAGAGCTTTCCTTTCATTTGTTCCAATTATTAAAATGAACAATGAGTGACAACACGGCGGTGATTTATTTCTTAATCCACTGGTTTGTGATTACAATGGAAAAATATTTCAAATATAAAATATTTGATAATTACATTGAAGCTGTCAATGTTATGGTAATGACACAACATCTAAAAAGTCATTAAAGATCGTCCAATTGCCTCTTAGATTATTTTTTCTTGCATGTATAAGAAAATTATCATATAGTTGAATTTGAACTATATAAGTATAACAGGTACCAACAAATTTCCTGCCTTTTGTCCCATATAAATTTTTTAATCTACACAAAGTACATGAAAATAGAGGTAAGACACAAAATTATCTCTGCCTGATTTCGATAAGTTTTATATACGTTTTTAAAGTAAATTTCTAATACTCATGAAAAAAATTAGAATTCTAAGAGATACTATAAAAATTATTGAAAACATCGATAGATCAATAATAACCAATAATAATAAGAACCAAGTGCGAATACATTTATTAGATTTATATAACAGTATAATTGTTTATCCTTCGACATAAATCCAATAAATATATTCGCATCGACAATCGCGCTTGGTTCTTATTGGCCTGTTTTCAGTGATTTCTAAAGTTGACTAAAATATAATATTTTAGGCTTAACGAATATGAGAGAAAAAAAAGTCAAATGGTAACGTTTCTTTTTTTTTCTAAACATTTTTCTAAGCTTAATCTAACGAGTAAAATGAGCTAAATAGAATTGATTTCTTAGCATGAGATTATAGTTGAAGATTCCATTAGTAGACATAAATAACGAAAATGCAAGTCAATGCAAATGCGTTACGCACATTGAAATAAAATATGCTAGAAGACACGATCTTGATACCCACTTTCTGCCATAGTAGTAGTAGCAGTACTAGTAGTAGGCTTGGTTGCTCCGCCAGGTACTTGATGATGCGGGTGACGCATGTGACCGGGTCGTCTTGGAGGCGCCAGGTATTCGAACATACTCTGAGTATGTTGCGCTAGCATCTTGCTAAGATCGCACGGCATCGGGTCATTCCAGAAGAAATCATGATTTAATGCTGAATCTGAGTCACACCTCTTATTAGGATCGAGGATTAGAAGTTTGTCCAACAAATCGCAAGCGGACGGATCCTTCAAGTACGGTTTTAATCTATCCTTGACCTATGAAATCGTTAAAAATTAAATTCCAAACAGAAATCCGTGAAGAAGGAATTTTGATTTTCGGAAAGCACAGTGTAAAGCAAAAACGTGATTTCTAAGTGTCTGAGCAATTACGCGAAATGCAAGATTGTATAAGGCTGCGTTCCGCTGGCTTCTTACCTTCCTTTTCTGTCCCTTAGGAAGATCCATTTTAAGAAACAGTTCTAAATTTTCAACACCAGGCCATACCTCGGGCGTTATCGAGCCGCATAATTGCGAAATCAATATAATCTGTTGTTGCTCGGTATTTCCCTGCATTATTGGTGATCTATAAATTTTAAATGATAGCATTTAAAATATTATGAAAGATCACTGAAATGTCTATTTTATTGTACACGTGCCTAGTCCACATTTCGGCCATGATGCAACCCGCACCCCATAAATCTACAGGCGGTCCGTAATTTCTATCACCGAGCAGGAGTTCTGGCGGTCGATACCAGAGAGTAACAACTCTATTCGTATAACGGTTAGAATGACCATTTTTCGTACTGAATGCTCTTGCTAGACCAAAATCAGCTAACTTTAGTACGCCATTTTTTGTTATTAAAACATTAGCAGCCTTCATATCTCTATGCAAAATCTGTAAAAAAATATATATAAATATAAGTAATTAAAAAAAAAAAAAAAAAAAAATATATATATATATATATATATACATATATATATATCGGAAAATAAAGAACTGTATAATTTACCTTATTGCTATGAATATAATAAAGGCCATTTAATAGTTGTTGCATAACTTTCTTGATCTCTCCCAGACTAAATTTTACATTTACATTTGACAACAAGCCAGCCAAATCGTGTTCACAAAAATCAAATATCAGATAGAAAGTTGAGCGATAACGATTATACTGAGTAGCTGAAAACAAAATTAATTCAATTATATATATATTGATGTAAAAGTTATCACATCAAAAATTTGGAATTACATAATTATACATTTTTAATTATACATTTTTAATATAATTGTGCAACCATGATCATTTATAATTACATGATTATATAAGAAAAATAATTATATTAATATAATCTATGACATTTACCTCGTGTTCTACAAATCTCTATAAGATTTACGACGTTTTCATGCTTTAGCAATTGTAATATCTTTATCTCTCGTAATGCTGTAATAGGGAACTGCGATAGTATTTAATGAAATGTAATATATATCAAGAAAATACTAAGTAAAATATTTTCATATCATTCATGTGATACAAACTTACTCCTTCTTTCTCATTTTCCATCAGTACTTTCTTCATTGCAACAAACTTCTTGTTATTCTTCTTGTCTCTGGCTTTAAACACTTCTCTGCAAAATAATTAAGGATACATAATAACACACATTAAAGAAAGTAAGAAATAGCTCAATATAATGTTCTAACATGAAGTACGTTCCACTTGACACTTGTAACGATCGTGAACATCATTCTATCCTTGTTTCTCTTGGATGTTAAACAAAGACAGAACGATGCTCGCAATCGTTGCAAATGTTAAATGGAACTTGCTTATTATAATGTTATATGGTTTGTTCTTTTTAGCTGAACTGGCTATTTAGTTCAAGACATTTACATATGCATTGAAGTGTATGAAATGTACGTACAAGTTTCTTACCCTTCAATGTACATACATTTATTGAACTAGTGCAGCTAATTCAGCTAAAAAGAACAGATCAATATTTTAACATAACCTGGAACACCCTCATTAGATGTTGCGCTTACCCAAAAGTTCCCTGGCCAATTTTGGCAACTTTCTCGTATTTCAAGGACTCATCGCAAAATGGAAAATCGAATTCCTCGATGTACTTCTCCTTTTCCTTAGTATTCATTGTCGCTACGTATATGCTATTCTTTTAGCCTGATTCTATATTTGTATTATATACTCACTCTCTCAAAATTGGTTACAAGCTAACTCATATTCTCAACTCACTTTTATTAATAAAAAATACCTCTAAAAATAGCTTAGAAACCACTTATTGGTTGAGAAACCACGTTTAAGACACTTTTATTGATAAAAATATGTTCAGAATATGGACTATAGAATATATAATCGCAACACTATTTAGTATCAGTAAGATGGAATTCCAGAAAATGCGTTTTGCTGTCGAGACAGAATTACTTTATTAAAAATAGGTGGTTCTATAACGAACAAAGGCCCTGCGAACACGTGTACACTCTCGGACCACCGGACAAAGATTATTTGTATTGTATTGATGATGGTGGAAACGGATATCAAGCGTCATTTACAATGCGGCTGCAGAAGAGTCGTAGGTAAGATTTCTGGTCTGTTCTTTTTATCTGCACCGCTGAATTGGTACAATAAGTTACGCCTTTTGCCCACGAGAACACGGAAATGCTTGCCACGCGGCAAGAAGCGTCATGGCAGCCAATAAACTTTTAGTTCTCGTGGAAAAACGGCACGTTGATTGGCCATTTCTTGCCGCGCGGTAAGCGTTTCCGCGTTCTATGTGCAGGATCCATTACGTGTTGTTTTGTGTAACAGAGGTATATCGTCTTCTCGTCAACAAATTTCAGTCTGGTCCTTATTTAATTACACAAACTATTTTTTTTTCTATTTAATAATATAATAATATAATATAATAATATAATAATAATTAGCTAAATAGCGCACGCGTAACGTTAGCGTCTGTGTTGATCTCGTTTCCTAAAATTCAAATTATGCTGATCCGCCATATGCAATAAGTCAACCAATCAGAAATCATTACCTCTCTGGTTATGTTCCATAATTCACTGTCAGCGCTTAAATCTATAGTTTATGTTACGTATAGTATACTATAGATTTGCAGCACTGACAGTGAATATTAGAATGAAGCTTATGACGCAACTTGATAGATGGATACTTGTGCATCTGATGGATATCCAACATCTGAGATCTTAGAATATCTCATGGATATTGCGATATTCCAAAATGATGTAGGACGACTTTCAAATAAAATATACTGTGTGGGAAATATCACAATTTGCGTCATTACGAATCGAATCAAACGTGACTTGCAATTCCACAACTAATCAATGTGTCCTTGATATTTAGATTTCATCGACACAATATTTACTATACGATACTAATTTATTTTCTTAATCCTTCCTGGAAGTTTCTTACATCTTTGATATTTTTGCTTCTTCTACAATAATTTTTATTATTAGTGTGTAAAAAGCAGCAGGCCTAGTATTAAGACATATCTGAGACGTATTTTCTAATATTAAACTATGTTATCATTCTCGCTACGTTATCGTGGCATAGATTCCCCTTCTTTCTTTACATAACTACATGCGTTATAATACATTGTACTACACATGCTACATTTGTGCGTCATGACAACGCCGCGTGAATATTGAAAGTTAGAGGATTGTCGTCAAAACATGACATAACGATCGAATATATCTAGTAGAAGAAGTATAAAAACAGCAGCAATCAACTTATTATTCGCAGTTATTCCTATTAGACGGACTGAAGTAAAACGGCTGGATTATATAAAAGCAAGGTAAAGCAATTTCTAAACCTTTTTCTGCTCCCGTTAGCTGTACGTGATCGTTCTTTTGTATCGAAATAAATTTCATTAAATATATTATATAATCAATTATTTAATTAATTTCTTTAACACGTTAACTGCTACGCGCATTTCGAAGGAAATCTCCGTCAGGCCAAATCCATTAAAATTTTTTGATAAGAAATATTTAAATATATTAATTATACGATCCTGGAATTACTTATTAAACTATGTAAATTTTTTGTTTTATATCGTACTTTATACTGTCAGTTACTGGTGACTGACGTGGCAGTTAATGTGTTAAACACATTATACAGTCAATTATTTAATTAATTAAATATATAGAGAGTTAATATAGTAATTAAATCCTTCTTTTGAAATATTAGGAACTACTCTAGCGTAATTTATACCCTCATTACTTATTTACATACTCATTTTCACTTTTCTAAATTGTACTCATGTCTCAGAAAATAAACAATTGCAACTGATGCATTCCTGATATTGATCAGCACGAAACGATGAGTTACATAAATAATTTTTATTTTTTAGATGTATTTTTTAATGCAAATAATATTCATCGTCGTTAACGGTATATACCTAGCATTGGTTTGGATACTATCGTTTATCCACTACAGGAAGCCACCAAGTATACCACCAATAACAGAGCCCTTATTGATGATAAGTGCTACTGAGCTAGCTAAAAAAATCAGAGAAAGAAAGGTAATTCTGTAACAATAAAGGTAATAGGTAATACGTAAAATTATCTAATAACAATTCTCTCTCCTATCCGGAAAAAAATGATTATATATAATTATATAAAATCATTTATGAATTTTGCCCTATATATGTGGTTACACATGTGACCATACAAGTCTATACGAAAAAAATAATGTTATATCATTTAATTAAATGTCGATATCATATGCTGTGAGAAGCATAAGTAGCCAGAAGCATTTATTTCGATTGCATATAATTGCATATCATTTGTAAACAACAGTATTTTTTCGCTGTGGACATATAAGATTATATATAGCCATATATGTGCAAATTTCATATATGATCTTTATAATATGTTAAAAAATTTTCGTGATAACATTTTGCTTACTGAGTTAATTATTATATTACATATGATATGTCACACTTAGTGACGATACAGAAATATTTGGTTTTTAAATTATTAAATATTTATGAGCAATAAACAATTTATAAATACTTATATTTAAAAAATCTAGTATACAAGCTACGAAGTGGTAAGCGCATACATCAAACGAATCAAGGAGGTGAATCCTTATCTAAACGCCATCGCCGAAGACCGATTCGAGATCGCTTTAACCGAGGCGAAAAATTGTGATAACCTGTTGGAAGCTGGCAATGTGGATATCGTAGAATTACAAAAACAAAAACCGCTTTTCGGTATACCGTTCACTGTGAAAGAAAGTTTACCTGTTAAAGGTACGTAATCTCTTTATTGCTTTATTATTGTTTTCTTTCTTAAATTTTACTTTTTTCTCTTCACGATAACGCCAGTATTGTTTTCGTAATAAACACATCGAACGCGATCGATTCAGAAACAGGTAATGTTTCAATGTAAATTATAAAATAAAATTAAACTGAACAATACAAAGATTTGTGTGTGCGCGAAAGGTGACAGCGTAAATTCTCTGTAACATGTAATGACATTAACAGGACTCAGTCATACGGGCTGCACTTTACCTCTCAAAGGAAGGAAAGCAAGCACCGATACTTTTGTTGTCAAGACGCTGCGAGATGCCGGCGCGATACCGCTATGCGTCACCAACACTCCGGAACTGTGCTGTGGTTTCGACAGCTACAATTTTCTATACGGTCGTACGCATAATCCGTACGATACCAGATACATAACCGGCGGTTCATCCGGCGGTGAGGTGAGATAATATTTTTTTAATACGATATTTCGCGTGGATGTTCATGTCCAGCGCGCAGTATGTATGCATATTCGATTAAGTCTTCCGAAAATTGCAATTGCATTATTATAATTGATACATAGACTGTGTTACGCTTATTGGTAGGTTACCAATACTTGATTTTTCAATAGTGCTATAAGGTCCACCGGTTATCTTCAGCGTAATATAATTATAAAGAAGGTATAGCATGATCCCAAGCATAACGGAAAATTACGCAGACGTCAAAATTATGAAAATATAACTGTAATAATTAAAAATGAAAAAAATAACTGTAATAATTAAATTGTCAATCATAATTTAATCGACATAATTTGATCATTTTCTCGGATTTTATGTTTCGACGTTACAGTGATTTTCTGTTCTATTTTCTGTTCTATCTTAGATATGAAAATATTACGTGATATTTAATTGTTATGCGCATTGATATGTTACTAATACTATAAAATGAAATCCGTTTGCGACGTAGAGATTGACGTAGGTCAGTATATGCTCCTTGACCAACCTATGAATATTCTATTCCTGCGGAGTGCCACTTCTGAAAAACTATTTCTTATATGTGTATGTGACGTCAATTCGTTGCATCACAGATATGATTAAAATCAATGTTACATTCTTAGTCCGAAAAGTTACGCTTTTATAGAAAAATCGTTTTTCTCCTAAATACTGTATAAATTATTCGATAAATGAATTTATTTCAGGCTGCATTGCTCGGCGCAGGCAGTTCCTTGATCGGAATCGGCTCGGACATCGGCGGTTCTATAAGGTTACCAGCACTTTTCTGCGGGATCTTTGGATTCAAACCCTCGCCGAGTAAGTCGACCTTTTCCTTCGTTTAAATGAAACACCTGAATTTTATTTATTTCAGATTTCTCTCACCTACTTCTTTGTTTATAATCTATTATTGAAAAGTTAGGAAGTCAAAATTCCATCATTAGAATAAATAGGAACTAAATAACAGTTCAAAGGAACTAAATTAATGTGTAGTTTTAATTTTTACAATAATTCATCGTATTCTTTTTCTCATATTACAGAAGTTATTCCGAGCAGAGATCATTTTCCATCGAACAATAACGAAAATTTCCAAAATTACATGACGTTCGGCCCGATGACTAGGTACGCAGACGATCTCAGTCTGTTTATGAAAGTGATATCGATGAAATCCAATTGCGACTTATGTCTAGACGAGCCGGTCGATTGGAAGCAAATGAAGGTCTATTACCGAGACAGTCTGAGTAAATCACTTAGCATTTTGTCACTGTCACCGGAATTCAAACAATGCATTCTAAAAGCTGCTATTCATTTTGTCGAACGCGATGTTCATACGGAGGAGGTATGTCTTTATAATATAGGTCCAGCACGTATCATCTGTATCCAACATTTTCATGAATTTAATTCTAACTGTGGTTGTACAGATACCGATAGAGTGGCCTGCGCGGTTATTCGAAATGATATTGGCGCATCTTTTGGATGTGGGACAGATTAACTTACTTATGGATACCAAGAATCCCAAGGTACCGATATAAACAAAATTTTAGAAGACGTATGTCCCTTACACGCGTGGGGATATCAACGCACGCGATAACTTGGATCTGTATATTTTTCATTACAGCTTCGAAAGAACCTTATAGTAGAAATGATAAAAGCTATATTCGGGCAGTCGCAGTACACGATGTCTTTACTATGTTTCGAGTCTATGAAGCATATCTTTCCTATGTTCTCGGGAAAGGAGACCTTACGTAATTACTTCCTGGAGTTCAAGGAATTTAAACAGAAATTGGAGAATTTATTGGGAAAAAACGGAGTGTTAATTTATCCAACTTTCCGAATCACAGCACCTTTCCCGGAACCGGTCCTCGCTGAAGCAAGAAGTAGCATGGCGTATTGTAGTTTAGCTAATATCCTTGGCTTCCCCGCAGTACAAATACCAATGGGACTTAACAACAAGGGGATGCCCATAGGTTTTCAGGTAAACAGATTGAGTTTGAAATTTGGAGGGAGATGTTTAAAATATCCTAATCTTTTCGGGACCGGTTTTCATCTTGATTCAAATTTAATTGATATAGTTAAAGGATAAATCTTAATGAAATTTTTTATTCGATACTGAAATTATTTCCACAACTTAAAAGAAAGAAAATGTATATCTCGTAATATTAAAATATATCTTCTAAAAGGATTAAAAACGTCTGAAAAGTTGGAACATTTTTCAGACAATTAAATATTTGATAATGAGATATGTTGAGAAAGTTGTCTGAAAAGTAAGTGATTCATTGAACGGTGTGTTAAAAATTTTTAGGTAATAGCTGCACCATATCAGGACCGTCTCTGTTTGGCTGCTGCAAAGGAGTTAGAGACGGCCTTCGGTGGTTGGGTACCACCTTCGATATCAACAATAAACAATTAAGAGATTATCGATATCTCTTAATAAATTATTCTTTTCATTTTATATCTGCTGCTTCTGTTCACACACATACACACTTGCTAGTAATTTATTGGCCTGTCCTTCTTAGTAGATTGGCTGCGTTAATTTAAAAAATGTATAATATAATAAAACTTAAGAAGCTTATGTACGAGATTTTCATGCTTCANAAAGGAGTTAGAGACGGCCTTCGGTGGTTGGGTACCACCTTCGATATCAACAATAAACAATTAAGAGATTATCGATATCTCTTAATAAATTATTCTTTTCATTTTATATCTGCTGCTTCTGTTCACACACATACACACTTGCTAGTAATTTATTGGCCTGTCCTTCTTAGTAGATTGGCTGCGTTAATTTAAAAAATGTATAATATAATAAAATTTAAGAAGCTTATATACGAGATTTTCATGCTTCAGTGCACATAAATTTCTTGAATTAATGCAGCTGATTCTATTAAAAGAAGAAATCATATGTGTTTTAACATTGCTGATAACTGTTATATTTTTAACCTTCTTTTGTTTATTATTTTATAATTTTTAGTAAACAACGAGTACCCGCTGATACTTTTTTTAAATTACTAAGATTACTAAGAATTATGCACTTGACAATATATTTTAAGATTAAAA